AACAATGGTAATTAAAATTTCCAATTGTCTTTCAACAATCGCAAAAATATGTTTATATTGTTGCAAGGACTTGATTTCACTATGTCAATACGAGTTCCTTTTAAGCGACAGACGAAAGATTTTAGATGATTAAATCCTGTGCTTTTCTGTTGTATTGATTCAAGTTTGAGTTTTGTAAGAGTTGACTCGCGTTATTTATTCAAGCAAAGTTCCAAGATTAAAAGTTTGGCGCTAAATTTTCAGCGGCAGCTACTTTATTACATTTTGAATTCCCGCGTGTTTACAAAAACTTGTGTATGTAAAAACAGGCGCATAATCAGACCAAATTTCAAAGTTTGGGCTTCGTTTAGAATGCAATGTGAGAGTGAAGAAGAGGAACTGCTCCATCTCTGTAGGCGGCAGCCGGCGGAGTTCAAAAGAATTTTTCCACTTTCTTTTTCATAACCGGGAGTTTGTGCGTCGCTACCACCACCACCGTCGGCTTGTTACCGAAAGATGAAGATTAAATTGGGGGCCGGAGATAAAAATGGAGGGCCGGATAAATGGCAGATAAAATGAGCCTTTATTGCTTCTTGAAGCGCCGCGCCACTCTTTTTGTACTTTTAAAGAGCAAAGAAAAGAAGAAGACATTTTCTCCGCGAAATTGCCACGCGGCCGGCGGGCGGGCACCTGCCTGCACGTCGCGTATAAATTTGGCGTGCGCAAGTGTTCTTTCGGGGCACTTAAGGTCTCGCGCCAGGAAATTTGATTACAGGAGAAATTGCGTTTAAATCATGTCATGCCACAAAAAAGCATCATTAGTTCGCCTTCCCAACGCAAAAAGCGGGGGCAGAAATCAAATTAATTTTAATAATTTATTGCACATTTCGTTTTAATGTACTATTTTAACTAATTTTGTTTTAGATGTAGAGAAATGGTATGTCACTAAAATAATCGTATATTTCTGCTAAGAACTTCAGACGATTTTTATCGTTTACTTTGTATGTCAACGTTGGATCTGAAAACAATTTTGTAGCGTTGGCAGAAATAAGCATTCATAGCTAAATCAATAAATAATGGTAAATCTCTGAGCGGCGGGTGCCACCAGTATTATCAACAGCGGCAGGCAACCGCACCTAATGAGCGCCTAAACAACCCCGCAATGTTTGCAATTACCCCGCATCAATCACCAACAGAAAGAAGCACACAGAATAAAGCTCAATGCTAATGCGATTTAGTTGAAACGAAAGAGATCAGGTGCTGCGTGTTTTTTAATTTATAAAAAGAAATGCGTCTGAAAAAGTGTATTTCTTGTAATCTAATAAGAACATTTAATTGAAAACACTACAAGCAGTGTCAAATTTTTTAATTGTGTGTGATGTTAACTGAAAGATTTTTTTCAATTCCAAATATACATTGTATGGATTCCGTGCGAGAATAATATGATTTTTTCCACCTTGTATCAAAAATAGCAAACAAGTGGGTTGCACTGTGTGAGTGGAATCTAAAATTTGTCTTATAATAGCACATAGCGAATGTTATTTAAATAATAACAATTGTTGTTGATCCAAAATGTTACAATCAGTTCAAGAAATATCATTTATTAAAAGGGTTAAAATCTTTCAAAAACCAGAAAGAATAGAACCTTTGAGTCGAAACTCGTGAAAGACTTAATTTGAATATTTTAAAGACGTTTAAACAATAATTAAAATAATTAGCTAATAACAAATAAATGAAGTATTTAAATTAAATACTTTTGGCTGGAATTGATAGCAAGTTGATTAATTTGCGAGATTGAACGGCGGCGAATTTCGCACGCGGCCGCTGAAGCGGTGCAATGTGCTCGTCAGCCCGCGGCATCCACCCCCGGCCACCCACCCACCGGTTCATCAAGTCCCCTCCCTAGCCATGCCGGCACACTCACCTGGGCCTCCTGCCGCGCCCGCTCGCGAGGTCACACACACGCATGCACGCAAGGGCTATTCCGGCACCCTGGGCGAAGGGCGCAGCAAGGGCAGGACCGAGGTATCCCGGCGTGGGGCTGCCTGATATGTTTGTGTTGGCGAGGGTTGAGCTTCACTGATGGTACCAAGCGGGCTGGCGAGGCAGCCGGAGAGCTTCCCCTACGTTCATCTCGCCCCCGTCCCCCCTGCGCCGCCCGCCAAAATCGATCTCAACTATACTCGAAGCCGAGCGGGACCCTCTCGGCTCGCGGCTGCGTCCCTTTCGCAAAAACCGAGAGGGTAGGGGAGCGCCGGTTTGTGGCTCTCGGGAGCTTTCTGTCGCTCCTAAGCTTTTGGACCAAGATGATCAGATCAGATATGAAGATACAGAAATTTTCTATCACTAGATAAAATAGAAATTCAAAATTTATGCTTAAATTTTTATTAAAAAAAAAATTAAATTTGCAAAATAAAATATGAAAATGAATAAATTTAAAATAATCATAATCGCTAAAAAAAAATTGTAATTTTTTTTATTAATTCTGTTTCAAAAATTTTTCTTTTTAATTTTATTTAAATTGTTATTTATTCATTCAAATTTTCTATTTCATTAATTTAGTCTAATAATTAAATTTTTATACTTCTACATTTCGATCAACTATTTTTCTAACTTATTGTGTGGAGTATTTTTTTTTTTATTCAAAATATTTTTCTCTCTTGTTTCTCTCCTTATCTAATGAATTAACAACTGAATCATTGCAAATTTTTAAAAACCCATACAATAGTTAATACATTTCTGATTATTTTCAGATAAAGTGTTCCTTTCTGTATAAATTTTAAATACGCTCTTTAAAAAAATTTAATTTAAATAGCCGATTTTTAGAATGGTCTCTGCTGCCCCTATTCCACCAGTATATTTATGCAACCCCACTGGTAGTGCGTTGCATCCCCCGTGAGTTGTTGCCTCTCTCGATTTCTCTGCTGCGCCGGCCGCATACTTATAGCGTCGGCGCAGACGTGTTGTTTTTTTTTCTTGCAAGGTGCGTGCTTGCTCGTTCTCTATTTTGCCATTCAAATAAGGCGTCTCCGTCGTGAATCAACTGCCAAATTCGCGTTTGCACGCTTGCCGCTTGCGACACCCCCAACACTGAACTTAGCCCTTGATAATAGAATCTTCTAGCTCAAGGTCTATACCGCGTTAATTTAATTAATTTGAGAGAATTTCACGACCTCACTTGTGAGCAATGCCATGATAATTTTTATCTCACTCGTAATATCCAGCAGCACGGAGACGCGCTAATTCACCGCCTCCTCTTTTTTTATTCTTTTGCGCGCGCTCATAAATTCAGCGGCTGATAACGAGAAGCCTCTGGCACACAACGCGGAAATAATATCATTGTGGGGGTACAAAAGAAAGAATTGCATTGAAAATAGAATAAATAAATCAATAATACAAAGTATGAAGTTAGGATGAAAAACTGAAAACCAGAGCTCTTTTTCACTGATGAAATATATATTGTTTTAAAATGAAAAATAATAATTTTCATTCAAATTTTTGCACCATGAAATAGGGCTGCAGTATCCAAATTTAATTAGGCAAATTGTTTTAAACAAACTAAAATTGCTTCAATGCGGAAAAGCTCGTTTTTTTTTCATCATGATGAGCACCTCAAGTAAAAATTTCTTCAATTATTACAAAATAAATTTATAATAAAGATTTTAGTGCGTTTATTATGAGAAGTTAGCAATTTAATATAAATCTCTATTCTTTGTAATAAAGATTTTAGTGCGTTTATTATGAGAAGTTAGCAATTTAATATAAATCTCTCCACTGAATAAGGTCCCCTTTCTCGGCATCAATTAGCATAATTTTACGCATGCCTTTGATACGTTTTTCAACTCTCACGTCAGTCCAGGCGCCGGGTAGGCAACCTGCTGAACTTCTGAGAAACGCCCGCTGCCTAACTTTGCGACTTTGCAGAGTTAGTAGAACAAAAACACGCCGAGTCTTGATGTTGACGGCTTGGGTCATTAAATAATTCAGGAGAAAGCTCATTACGAGACTGCTTGGTTTTGAATGAGCTCCAAGCTCAACATCGAAAATTTCATCACAATAAACTGATTTCAAAATTGATGTAAATACATGGGAACAAAAAATTACATGATGAGTTATTATAGGCCCCGTTAAAATTGCAAATGACGCTTGCTTTACTTCTTTTGATTTACTACAATGTGCGAAAAATAAATTATCTAAATTATTTAACTCGTCAGAAAATGAAAAGAAACTGATATGTTGGAAATATGAATTAAGGGGCTGGAATTAAAAATGGACTTGATAGTTTTATCTTTTTAAACCTGGGACGAATTTTTCCAAAAACGTTTCCAAGAAAGCAAACATGAAATTAAAGCAATTGCTTCCTTTTTGTAAAATACACGTCTAAAAATATTTTATCCTTTTGAACCTCGGACAAAGTTTTCTAAAAAGTTTTCAAAAAACTAAACATGAAAATAAAGCAATTGCTTCCCGTTTGCAAAATCAAAGTCTTCAAATATTTTATGTGTTGTCACTCGTAGAAAAAAAAATTACAACGATGGATTGTTATACGCAAGTAGAGTTAATATTGCGTGATAAAATTGGAACTTTTTGGCTGATCGGATAGCACATCGGAATTAAAAGTAGCTCATAGAATTCATGGCAGCAAAGCTGATTGCTTCGCTCTGTGAAGCAACTAATTGTAGTCCAGTGAATATTCTTCAAAATCTGAATTTCTTTGCCAGAACCTTGAAAATTTCAATTTTCCAACTACTTCCGGCATTAATTGATGGCGCAGACGCATGATCAGAGTTAAACAGAATCAAACTTTGTCAGTCTCAAAACAGAATCCTTAATCTTGCGCATTTGCATCAAATTGCGTAAAAATAATTCACCAGTTGTGTTACTGTGTGAATTAGGACTTAATTCTAAAATGGAAATTTTTGTTTAGAAGCTAATAGCGTTTTTTTTAACGTTTTACCATGAAGAAATATTTTTATAAATATGGAAAATTTTGAAATAACTTCATTAAAAAAAATTCCTACCTCTCATCGCAGGTTGCGGACTAGCAGGTGCTCCAATTGGACTGGCCCTGGTGAGCAATTGAGGCTGTCTGGACATCTCCACTGTTGAGTCAACTGATTCAAACTGACGTCCCTTCAAGTTTTGCCAATCCTCTCTAAGACGTCGCACAGTTTCCTAGAAATTTTAAATATTTTAGCTAAAAACTATTAAAGAATTTAATAAAAATAAAAAAAAAATAAAAAGTTATGGGATTGACGCTCAGTAACTTTTTTAAGTTTTGTTTAGTTATTAACAAGGTCACGCTTGAAAAAATAAGTAAAAAAAACCTACATTTTCAGATTTCAAGTTTAAAGAAATATAAGCATGCTCTATTAATATGAAACAAAAAGGCTCTTGTAAAATATATTGAAGTAAAAAATAAAATAAATTTAATAAAGAAAATTTGTATCATTTAATAGACAACTTACATGCAAATTTGATGACACAGGTTGTCTAGCTGCCTCACATTCTTTTTCAAGGTTGTTGAAATTCTCAAGCAGCTCCAAAATGTCAACTTCTCTATCCTCTACGGATGTCTGCGGGAAAAATATGTATTTCAAGATTTCAAGCAATAAGGCATTGAATTAAATTAAATTTATAATTATTACAGATTTGAGAGGATATCAATCATGAATTATTGATTTACACTTACATGAACCTGTTCAAGAAGCCTGTCTTTCTCCTTTTGTGGAATGTCAGCCCTGGCCATGGCTACGCGACCCTTTGTTTCCATGCTCCAGTCAACGATGTCGTGCAGCCGAGTTGAAAATTTGGCCAGCGCACCTAATCGCGCTTGTAATTGGCCGCTGTGCTCACCAAGGCTGTAGAGCGCCTGAAATTTTCAAATTTTTGCTATCAATGTCTAATCAGTTGGAAAATTAGTAGCTCCCAAGAAGTAAAAAAAAATGTAAATGATGACAAAATAAAGTTTTAATTTGGGTAAGAAGAGAAATCGCATTATATTTCCAGAATCAATTTCGCAAGATATACAATGAAGAAGCGAAAAGAGCAACCAAAAAGTTAGTATGCAGAAGAAAGCGGCGGAGAATTAATAAAAAGTTATACCTTGTCAATGGCCATGCTGAGGCTGCGAACTTGCTCAGAGTCAAGAGAACTTTTCCGCTCTTCCAGTTCCTTTTTCCGCATCTGCAACTCCTCTTCTCGTGCCTGCGAGCAAGTGAATTGGGTAAATTAAAATAATTTATCTGGAGGCTCTTGCAAAGAATTGCAGTGCTTAACAAAGAGAAAAAATAATAAAATTGGAATGAAATAAATTAAACAAATAATCATTTGCTAATTAAGTTCTGGAATTCTAAAAAAAAAAAAAAAAAAAAAAAAAAAAAAAAAAACCAATTTCCAGATTGAAATCTTTTGTAAAATGTATCATGGCAATTGGCAAAGAATTCAAAATATTTCAAATTAATTCAAGAGCATGTCAATATGCTTTCCAAGAAAACGAGATGTTGAAGCGTATAATGTTAGAGAATTTTTAAACCTCATAAAATAAAATCTGCCGAAAATAAACATGTTGAGTCTGTCTGAGTCGATACAAACAGATCCCTTAATGTAAGTTTAAAATTTAGCTGAAATATAAATTCTTTCCATCCTGTCCAGCCTTGCAAGCATCGGCCAATCTTTCCGCTTCGGGTTGGCTGGACTCCAAAAAAGTGCTGCCGAGAAATTTTAGGAATTTGTTTCTATTTCTCCCAATTTTTCAAAAATATTATAAAATAAAAAAAAAAATAGAAAAGCAAATTTTCATTGAAAATAATTTCAGCGCTTCAAAAATAGCACAGGATAGAGACTTTCAGTTTAGACACGTTTATTTATTTCTTTTCTAATCCCTATCGCGTAAATCTGCCCTTATGGGAAAAATTACTTATTGTTACATAAATAACTTTAAATATATTTGAGGGTAGAGGAGGATACAACTCCCTGTATGAAAAGCATTTTTTTGGTTCTGAATACTTATATAATTCAGATATTTACCAATAACTTTCTTTTTATTATTATTAATCATAATTATTATATTGTTTGATCAAAAAAATTATTTTTAAAAATTTTTACTGATTTAAAGTATATGAAGTATACTACGTTTAAATTATCCTTGTATCGTTCCGGAATTTAGCTTTTCGATCAAAATTTAAATTGGAAACATTCATTCTTAACTTCGATCTCGTAGTCTATTTTTAGTTAAAGCGAAAGCGGCGGCTGTGTCTGATTTATCTCTTCCGAGAAGTTACGAACAATCAAGCTGTTTAACACGCGCAAGTTGCTTTATGCCTGCTCTGCACCCCATCAGATTTTAAATTAATTTAGCTCAAACTCGCGGCGGCGTTGATCTATTTTCAGACCTTGAAGGAATCCTCTCTAGGGCTGCGAATTGTCAAAGTCGCGCTTAACAGCACCAAAGCTTTGCAGATGGAAAGGGAGAGAATTAAAAATAAAAAGTCAAACGCGTTTCTCTGATCAAGAGGGAAAATAATGCGGCCCTTAATGAGGGCGAAAAGCGGCGTCTTCATCCGCGACAGAAGAGCTGCCAGAAACGTGCCGGTTTGGATTCAGCAGCGTGCGCCTCATCCATTCATCAACTCCTCCGTTCTTGAGACATAAATTCTCAAGAGGTAAAAATTAGCAGTGCTGCGTGATTTAAAATTATTTTGTGACTTTCAAGAAATGTCAAAGTTCACAAGAACTGCGCCAGAATTACATAAAATTGGTGAAAAACAAAATGTGCTCCAATCATGCTGAACAAAAAAAAGTTATCTGGAATAAATTTCCTTACCTTTACTGAGCTGAGACGTACGCCGAGCGAGGTTTCATCAGAAGGGTTGGCGGGCGAGGCGAGCAGGGCGCGCACCTGATCCAGACACGTGACGCATGAGTCGACAAACGTGCGAGCCACAAGACCAGGCGCAGCAGGTGGAATCAGCAGGGACGCGGTCGGCGTCGGGCCCGGCTGCGGCGCGTTTGCCGCCTCCATCGCCGCGATTCTGCAAAATTTAAGGTCAACGAACTTATCAGGATGAAAAGCATTGTGGTCACCAAGAGTGAAGTAGATAAACACTTTCAAGAAAGAAAAATTTGATGAATGAAAAGAAGTTTGAGATGTTGAAAAGAAATTAAAATTTGTACATGGACTATTTCGTCCAATCTAAAATAATTTGCACAATTAACCGTCTTTATAAAAGAATTATATTTTTGGATTTCAGATAAAATTAAAATAAAATTCAAAGAGCCTCACTGCGGCGGACGGGGTCTTTTTGATCTCCCAAGTTTTAGCAAAATTCTTGCTAGTGGCGCTGCCGTTTTCTCCAATTCCTCTTTTTAAATAAATTGTTTTCAACAATTGAATGTAACGATGTGTTTTTAACAACTTGGACATGTAAACAACAATTATAATAGTTCATAGATCAATTTTATCATAAAAAATATCGTACAGATATTTAAAATTGATTTAATTCTAAAAAATAAAAATTCAAGACAAATAAGAATATCCTACATCAATTTTAAAATTTCTACCCTTATGAGAAAAAACGCAATGCCAAAGACTGATATCTTGGACAGGAATCATCTGCGTTTGTCTCTCAAAGTCTGTCACACACGTGTGCAGCAACCTAGTCACTGAGCGTAAAGAAAAAAAGGCAGTCTGACTTGAGTCAAAAGTCTCAGCGCCTCGCGTCACATTGGTAAAGACGACAGCCGCGACTACCCTCTTGATGCACAAATGAGGAGAAAAGAGGCAGCAACAAACATCCGCTCCAATTGCTCAAGATGAATTTTTACGAAAATACACTCTAATTTTTATTTTCAATTTTGATCTTCACCTTGCCATGGGATTTCTGGAGAAAGAGAGTTTCTATTTTGATCTAACATATAAATATTTATCAATCTAAATCATTTCTGGATTTCTGATGCAATAGAAACGTCATTTTTTTATGACAATCAGAATATAAATAACGTAGAAATTGCAAAATTAAGAATTTCATGCAAAAGTTTCAGCTGTAATAGGAAGCAGAAGCTCATTATTATTTATTAGCATTGCCAATTCTCCTCTAGATGGCTTATGTTAAAATATAATACGCAACAAGTAAGTAATTTAAATTCAATACTCGACGATAATGTTAAATTTTCATACTATTTTATTCCTAACTACATCCAAACAATACCTCTTACAATTAGTCTCTTTTAACGTTTCAAAAAAATTATTTAAGCCACAAGTATCAATAAACAAAGTCTAGCCAGTATAAACTATAAAAATTTAACTAATGAATATAATAAAAATTAATTTTTATATAAATTATATATAAATAAATTCAAGTAAAAATTAAATTTTAAGAATAGAAATTAAAAATATTAATTTTACCATATAAAAGGCTAATGAAAAGCCCGGCCCGAAATATGCAGCAAAAAAATAATAAATAAAATAAAAAACCACTACCCTTAGAAATTGAGAAGTAATTTGAATATTTTGAAAAAGGATAAGATAAAATACAACATTTGCCGGATGAAAAATTTCCAAATGATGGTATTTCAATTTTGCACGCGAATGTCATACATTGTTAGTTGAGTTACCTCAGACTATAGACCGTGGGGTGAGCAGATTTAAAATCCATTTTGACGCATTAGTTGCGAAACACAGGTAGCAGATCAAAACGCACGCACTCTGAGTCAATATTAATAATATGCAAACACAAAAGCTTGGCAGCAAAGCAGATTACAAAGCCGAGTTTCGCCGTTGGTGTTTCACCCTTTGGTTTTCTCAGCAGATGGTACAGCTTGTTCACTGACTTGGGCGGCGCAAATAATCTGATTAAAATGTGCACTACCGGCGGGCGGGCGGGAAAGTCTCTCGCGTTTGCTGCCGCCGAATTATTTTTGTCTCGGCTGCTGCGGCTGCGAGGAACTCAATGGTCCAACGAAAAGTTGGTGTGTAAGGCAAAAACAAACTTGTTGGTGTGTCCCAGCCGCGAGAACTGGGAGACTAAAATAAATATCGCCGCGCGAGGAGGCAAAAAGACCGAGAGGAGCCGATTTGTTCATCACGTGGGCCTGCCACCGCCGCTCACGCCGCTCTCGGCTTCAATGCTTTTTAAATCAAAACACACACACGCGTGTAATTTTTGGTCGCGCATTCTTATTCAAATTGCAAATTCCACTTGAGCACATCACATATGAGGATTAGCCAATTTGTCTATTTCTCACCATTGACAAGAAGAATTTCTGATCATACTTTTTAAGTTAAAAGTTATTTGTTCCTTATCTTACTCCCCATTTTTTTTTTTTTTTTTAATGATTGTTTCTACTTAAGTAGAGATCAAAAAAGTTTTTAAACATTTTCATAACTGACAAAAATTAACTATAAAGCGTCAAGCGAGTCTCTGCAGTGGATGGGGTCTTTTTCACTCTGAAAGTTTTAGCAAAATTCTTAGTTTTGTCAAACCACTTTTTTATAATGTTTTTCTTTTCCTTAATTATTTTGAAAAATAAAAACTACAATAACAGTATAAAAATCTACCTTACTGTCGTGACTGCCATTTTTCCAGCTTTTATACTATAATAAGCACCATTTGATAACTTAACATGGTATTATTTTGGCCAAACTTGTAACTCAACTCGTCATTTCACTTAAAAATTAATAAATAAAAAAAAGTAAAATTACTCAGTGCTTGCGAGCCTGTTATTATGCAGCGTGCACATCTGTCTGCAGGCCCCCTTCGTGCAATGAATGACATTAAGTCACCAGATTAATACACCCCACTGTGATGCTGCTTTCAATACGCGCCGAATGCTAATAACTTTTCACATTTCCGTTTGCAGGTGAGAATAGGCGGAAAGCCATTTAGAAAACCGATAAAATTATTCTAACATTTCATTTCTTATTCCTCCGTTTGTATGTTTTTTTCCGCGAAAGGCACTGTGGATCAGAATAAATTATAAATTAAGCATCCCAGACTTTATTCACACAGGCTATCACAAAAAAAACGCCATTGCTCTTTATTGGGATGGTGTGAAAAGAAGCGCACACCCACGAGGCAGACGGGACTGCTGGAAACTCATTTGCGGGCCACAAAGCGTTCAATTATCCTGACAGGGTGCAGACAGACAGTCAGACAGCGGGCATGTTAATTATGAGCGCGCGCAGGGCGGGGCGTAATTAAAAATAAATAAACAAGCAGCCGATGAATTGGATTAGGGTGTGATGTGTGCACACAGTGGATGTGGGAACAAAAAAATAATTTCTCCGCTGATGGGATCTACTCAAGGTTTGTACATATGTGACGCCTGCCTGTCTGCTGTTTGCTCTCGCCCACTTTATTTATTGCATGGCTGCAATTCAATTGAAAATAAATAAAATCAAGTAAACACAACATATAGTTTTTTTTCAACAATGCAAAATTAAGATTAATAATCTGCTTGTTTGTTGAGTTGCTGATTTAATTTGGTTAGCAAATAATTAATATATACTACATTTTAAAAAAGAGACTTCATAAAACGTTGATTTTGGGAAAACTTATTTCAAATATTGGGTCAATCTATGAAGCATTATGAAATTTTTTTACCTTAATGAATGAGTTCCTGTTGTGCATGAGAAAAAAAATATAGCTTGATTTAGCATCAACTTGAAGTATTAAGTTAAAGTAGGAAATAAAGCAATATATTGTAGAGGAAGTAGTGAGGAAAATATGCATGAAATGCAATTAAAAAATTGAGACCTACCTGTCCCTTCTGGTGGTGATTTCAGCCAGGAGGATCCGCCAGCGTCTGAGCAGAGCTTCCACAGCATCTGTTAGTCTTGTGGCATCAGGCTCCGAGCATTTTGCAGCAATTTCTTTACCCGACTGGCGCAACAGGCTCATACTCCTGTGCTTTGTGGTAATCTAAACAAAAATTATTATTTTATTTTAAAAATTGGCCCACTAGAGTCTATTATTATTTTGTTTTAATTCATTAAAATGCTCATAGTAATAAGTAAAGTTTTTTTTTTCTTCCCTATGATTATCTTGAGCGCCTTCTTCTCTTAAAATTACAACATAGGAAATTTAATTTTGGCAACTCACCTGCTTTTCAAGTTCTTTTTGCTTTGCCTTAGCATCTGCAATTGGGTACTGGTCGATTCCCCCACAATTTTCTTCTTCACTTTTCCAATTGGCCATGAAGACCTCGGCTTCATCCAGCCACTCACCGAAGCCTCTGCAGGAGGTGTGAAGATTCCGCCAGGCGTCTCGGCACTTTGCCCACCTAGCGTGACGCTCCGCAAGGGCCCTGTGTACTTGTGACCATTCTTCTCTTAATTTGTCCACTGCTCTGCGCACCCTGAAAAATTTCCAAATTTAGTGACTGTAAACCTACCAGGGTCTAAAGTATTACCTGTCGGCTTCCTCTCTACCTCCTCCGTTCAAACTGGCTCTTCTCATGGTGCCATCCCTACCATACTCGATTTCGTCCATTCCAGCTTTAAGACCAGCAAGCTGGTCCTTGACATTCTTCAGATATTCTTCTTGTGTAGGGAACGCTTCGTAGTCATTTCCATTGAGTGGGTACGTGTTCAACTGGCGATTTGCTTTTGCAACTTCTTCTCTGATCTTTTTCACAGCTGCAATGAACTCGGCAGCACCCTCAGCACCAACCTACAATTAAAAAAAAAAATATAAAAAAACCTTTTGTCAATTCCTCAAAATACCAATTGTCCAGACTCGATGCTCTTTTCTTGCGGTTTCTCAATGTCCTTTAGGTAGTGCTGGAAATTGCTCTGGACGGTCGACCACTTTGCATCCAGACCTTGAACGTCCTTCCTCTGAGCAGCTAATTCTGCTTGTAAAGTTCTCAGCTGCCCTTCGTCATTGTTGGCCTGTTCCAGTCTCTGCGTAAACTCGGCAAGCCATCCCTCCAGCTTAGTGGCTTCTGCTTTGTCACTTTCTCTGCTAAGGCCACGAAGTTCCATCCAAAGAGAGCGCAAAGAATCCTAAGAAAAAAGTTTAAATCAATATCAAATTAATGAGGGAAGGTTTTGTTCATAATATATAATCTATTCTTTGTAAGCGGCATTTGAAACATATATACTAGAAGCTTTTTTCTTCTGAAAAACAATATTTGCATTTTGATTGGACTTTAACAAACTAACCTGAACTTGTCGCAGATTCTCAGCCAGAGCTGGATTCTTTGAATGCGCCTTCATGACCAAAGAATCACCGCGACTTATGAGGGAGGCTGCATCAGGAGCCAGTTGTTGCCTGTCACTCTCGTCTCCCGTCGACAGCACTTCTTTGATGCGATCACACATTTTCCTGGCAGCATTTTCATGGGCACTCATTTCAGCTATCAAGTCTTCTCTTGGCTCGGAACTGCGTTGAATCACCTAATTTTGAGGAAATGTAAATTTTTACCCTTACTTTTAAAACCGATAGCAAAACTTGATTTGGATTGGATTATAGTGAATAATGGAATAATTTTCTGCCTAAAACAAACCCTTATGGGTGCCTCTTGAACAGACTCTGCAAAACTCTCGTCACTGGACGACGCTGAATTCAAAGCGCTTTCTGTTTCAGAAAACACAGGAACGTCGTCGGTTTCTTTGTCCGAGCCGTAGAAACTGTCTTCTTCAGCATCCTCGGTTGCAACTACACTACCGACGATGTTGAACGTTTTAGTTACCTCCACCTGTCGTTTCACCACCAATTCCCTTGATGACAGGGTAGTGATGGTAGCTTTTTCCATAGACTTGCGAGTGTCCGTGACCGTAACAGTGACTTCAGTTGATTCCATTGTGTCTCCGTCCGCAGGAATCTTGACTACCTCCACGCTTTGTGGACTGCTGAGGGAAGTTGTCTCAACACGCATCACCGGCCCTGCAGCAACGCCTTTGACAATTTCCAGTTCTTTGACCTCCACTACACGGCACTGGTCGGCTACTGAAGGTAAAGAGATCTTGCTGGTGGACACAGAAATTTCTTTCCCTCCCGAAACTTCAGAGAACAGCGAACTGTCTTCTGCCAGATTGAAAGTTTGAGACGGCGTTTGCATTTTTTGCCTGGAAATTTTGCTTTGAGAAAACTCTCTGAAGCTGGGGTTGGTGAAGCCGAAGTCGTTAGCATCGAGGATGGTCTCGAGCGTCTCCGATTTTCGGTTCTTCGGGGAGCTCGGACCTTGCTGCAAAGAACAATTTTTCATTTGGGAGTTGTCATATGGTGGTGGCTGACAGAAATCGGGCCTGAGCGCACCTCTCCTTAGTAAGCTTAGTATGAGACGTCAGTCAGAAAAGCAGGGGTCAGGGGTTATCCATCATTTAATAAACAATTTCATGAATGGCCACCACAACCACAAAGATGGGCCGATGATGATTTCAAGACATGTAAACATTTCTGCACTAGAGTGATATTTATAAGATATAGGTTTATCGAAGATTTGATTAAAATAAAAATATTATTGAATGCTTTAAAACAGGAACATAATTAGTTTGCATGCCTTTCTGGATTTATGTTTACAAAGAACAAAGAACCATCAACCCATTTTAATCAGATGTGTCCCCTTAAGAACATGTTTCTAAAATAACGCTGCAAAATAATGTTGAGTGAACATCAGATTTAAACTTAGGCACATTGAAGGCGACACTTTCCGCAATCCAACCCAAATCAAGCATTTTATCAGGAATTTTTGACAAAAATTTATATGTACAAGAGACGTAAACATAAAAAATTAATTTTTCACCTGTACTCTCTGAGCAACGACGGTCCAACGCTGATTCAACTGAGTCAATCGGGTTTCAAGGTTGTTCAAAGTTTGTACACCAGAAACTTTTAGCTCAGTTGCTGAACTTTTCAATGATTCGTAAGTTGATTGGTGGACATCCAAGGCCCTTTTTAGAGCCTAAGCAAAAAATTGGATTCAAATGCAATGTCATTGATACATCGATATGCCATACCTGATGCTGAGAATGCTGCCTTTCTCCCTTTTCGCTGTCCATCCTGGCCAAACCTTGTTCGGCTTCCTGCAGCCATTGCTCCAGTTCATTTGCAGAACTCTCCAGCTGAGCAGCAACATCAGAAAGTGAAATTTGCTCAGCTTCCATGGGTGTTGCCTCTAAAGGTGATCCTTCTTTAGACAAAATCTGGTCCTCAATCTCCAAAGATCTGGCTCTAGGTGTGCCGAATCTCTCCTGCAGGGTTTTCATCATCGAAACAGCTTCTCTTTTGGTCTCTCCCAGTTTATTTTGCGCTGGTTCAGTGGCAGCTGGGTCGCTCAATAGAGGAGCCAGCGTAGCAAGGTTGGTCTGGGCTCGAGCTAATGTCTCTTCAATCTGTGGCTGTTCTAGGCGCAACTCCTACAATAAACAAATATTTAAAAATTTAATTTTTTTCCATTATCATGTTTTACCTGTAAAGTTTGCACTTCCACATTATCTGTAAGAGCTTCTTGCACATTTTGTGTCCATTGAGAAGCAGTAGCAATGTGTTCCTGAAGTTGCCGGGCTTGAGAAAGTGCATTTTTCAATGACTCCTTGCTTTCTGTTACTTGCAGTCCAAGCTGAAAAATTAAAACCATAATTAAAATCTGTTAAATTCCAAATTCAGTTCTATCCAACTCATTCAACTTTGGACGGAAACAACAATAATCAAAAATGAAACTGCACTAGGCGTGAAGTATTTTCTTTTTTCATTCACGAGGATCAACATGCTTCTACATAGTATTTGAATTCAAAATAAAGAGCACACCACTAAAAATACCTTCCTAACAGCATAATAACGACCCTCGGGGGTGAGAAACAACAATATGTTCTCCTTTATAGTGCAACAAAATCTTACGTTAATTCAATGGGTCATTAAAAGAACGGAGGAAATTTGATTTTCTGATTAAATAAAAAAGGGTTTGTCATTGTACTTTTTATAGAAAAAAGCTCTACCAGCACATGAGCTCCCCTCAAAATTATCCATTGCAAGCACCCGATTGCAATCCCTAGCTCTGCTCCCAATTTTTTGGCTAAATTTTGTACATAAGTTTTCTGAGAAAGAAGACAGACCGTGATCATAAAATGGTTGGGCTTCTTTTGAGTATTATAATAAAATGAAAAATTATAATGACAATCCCGTTTTTGTTTAATCATGTTTCTCCTTTAGTATCCATTTTTCACTGAAATTTCCTACCTTATTGTAGAGTTCTTTAAGGTTGTCCAATCTACAGGACAATGCAACTGGATCAGGTGAGGCATTTTCTTGCACCACCTTCCTGCCAGTCTTGATGATGCTTTCTACCTCAGCTTTGATGTCACTTAAGTTATTATAGAGGCGCTAAAAACAAATTATTACAATTTTTTCGGTCAATTAAATTTAAATCTACATTGCAGTTAGAAAGCTGTCCATCAAGGTCGTCAGGTTCGGCAGAAGAAGGTTCTAATATGCAAGAGGTATCTTCAATTGTCCGTAGTTCACGAAGAGCCCTAGTGAGTCTAGTGTCTAGATTTGCATTTCCCGCAGCTCGGAAGTTATCAAATTGAGCCCTGACTTCAGTAAATCTCCTCTGAAATGCCAAAAAGTTAGAGCCTTAAAGAGCAAAGGACCTCACAAAAATAATACATTCAAAAGAGAAAGCTGCTCGTGCAATCTGGTTGCTGCTTCAACTTGGCCAGCATTGTTATAGGCCTCGATTTGCTGCTCCATGTCTTTAAGTGTGGTCTTTTGGGTTTCAAATTCTTCCACAAGTTGCTGAAAATTTTGATAGTAAATCGCCAAAGAACAATTTTATTTCAGTCTTGGTGTTCATGAAAGAGATTATACGATTTGTGTTTCAGAAAGATTGAAAATATTGTTTGTAGATTGGAAGTAATAAGAGAAAGTCTACACAAGAAACATTAATTACTACAAAGGGGAATCAAAAACTGATTAAAACATAAAATCAATGGAAATTAAAAAGGGGATGATATATATTAGAAAATAACCTTACTTTGAAAGATTTCTAGACTACATAGATGACTAACGTACCTTATCCTCCTCAGGCAAATCAGCGGCAGTGAGATCTTCTTCTGCCCTGGCAGTTAGTAGGGTGTGCACGCGAGTTAGCCACTGCATAGCTGACAAAATGCAAGCCTCCCAGTTCTGGGCCTCGCTTATTGAGTTTTCGAGCAATCGGGTACGCTCTCGCGCCTGCAGTGGCATGCAAAAGCATCATAGCAAAGATTCAAAAGCACGTAAATAAATAAGAATTTGGCAGAAAATGAACAGGTATTAAAATTATTGATTAATCAATGTCATTTAATTATCATGCAAAAAATTTTTTTATATTAATCAACAGAGGATTCAAAGTGAAAAATGAACACTACTGATACCTTCTGGCTGAGTTGGCTCCAACGGGCGGTCAGACCCTCAGCTTCGGCCTGCACGATGCTAGGCATCACATCCACGTCTGACAACTCTTTGGCTAAACACTGAATGCGTGCAAGACGCGCCTCCGGGTGATTTCGAATGTAATTCTCCAAATCCTGGTTGTGTATTAAAATCAGCATAACAAGCAAGGTTTTAGTGACTTTAATACAAAAAAATTATCTGATGCCACTTTTTTTGTTTAAATCAATAACATTTTAAGCGTCCATTAGACATCAAAATGCTTAGGCAAGAGACACACAGAACAACACAACACAAAGCTTCACCAAAATAGCATTCACTGAAAACTTACATCCAGCTCCTCTGATATTTCTTCAGCGTCTGCTGCAGACTTTGGTGATTTTCTGAGCCTCTTCTCCAATTTGTCTAGCCAATCTCGCTCTTGTGCAACCAGAGCTGAAAATTTGAAATGAAGTCTTGCGCTTTGTAAAATTTCCCATCATGTACCTCTGAACTCTCCATAATTATGAGATGCATCCTTTAAAGTCCTCACTCGGGAATAGACAATTTCAGTAACGGTTGACCAGTGTGCATTCAACTGAGTGAAAAGTTTCTGCAGCTCATGAAGCCCAGGACTTCCTTCTTCTTCGGCCAATAAAAGCAATTCACTTCCTGTTTTTGTAATGAATTAGAGATAGTAATATAATAAGATAAAATAAATACCTATTTCGTTGATTGTCCTAAACTGCTCTGTTCTGCTATCCACTTTGTCTTTCAAGACTTGCAGCTGACCTTTAACGCGAAAGAGTTCTGCAGACGATGAAGCTGTTGGCGCCTTTTCAAGAGGAATTTCAGTCTCAAGTTCCTGCAGCCACTGCTCGAGGTCATCAACGCCCTTAAGCACATCCAGGGTTTTGGTGAGTGCATCCTGCAGCCTCTTATTTTGGGAATGTGTTCTTGAAGACAACTCTTTCCAAGTTTTAGTGAGGTCATTCACTTGTTTTCTCAAGTCCGATTTTTCCAATGGTTCGCCATCAGTAGAAGATAGGCCAAGAATTTTCTTGGCGCTTAGTTCAAGTGTGGCAAACTTCGGTTGCATGACTTTGACATCTTCTGCCAACCCCTTTCAAAATAATATTGTTATTAAAAATAAAATAGTAATAATTTTGGTATAAATTTACAGAAAATTGCTGTAGCTGAGCTTTCAACGTCTCTGGCTCTCCAACAGCCATAGCTTCCTCGGCTTCCACAAAGATTTTGACTTCTTTCAGCCAGTTTTCCAACACATTTATCTGCTCTTTCATAGACGACCATGACTCGACCACTTCAGATATAAAATTAGTAAATGACGGAAAAAATTATTTAAGAAAAAACTCACTAGATTGCACTTTTGCCGTTTTCTCTTCAATTATTACAGGCAGGTCGCTCCAGCGAGTGTTGAGCTCTTGCAGCTGCTGCCTCAAAGACTCTTTGGAAAAGGACTCGGCAGTGTAACTAACACACTCATGCCCAGTCGAATTGATGATTTCAAATTTTTCGTGTCTTTCTTTCAAGCCTGACTGCATTTCCTGTTAAAAATAAAAATTACTGTTATATAAAATCGTAAGTTTAAAACTTGAATTTACATTTAATTGGGCCTGTTGCTGCTGAGGGGCAAGACTGTCATCCTGCAAGGCTAACTCAGAAGCACGCAACCAGTTCAATAAATCTTGTAGCTCTTTCAGAAACTCCTCTGATGGTCCTTTACTTTGTTCAGCTAACAAATCTTCCAATTTTCTTTGCAGGCCCATCATTACAAATTCCCAGCACTCATAAAACTGCTCCCCCTCTCTTGCAACTTCAGCTCTGTCGTAAATGTCAGCTGCATGGTGCTGAGACACCTCGGACGCCTGCTGTCTCATCTTGGCCACTCTGTCTTCATGCGACTTCATAGATTTGATTTTGACCCGGCACTGCTCTACAGGAGAATGAGGTCCAGCTCCTGTTGTTTCATTTTCAAGCCATTTGCTGTACCCCTATATAGGATTTAAATAGTTTATGCAATTTAGTACAAAAAGACTATACTTGTAAAATCGTGTTAAGAGCACCAAGCTCAGAATTAAGATGCCGCCTCTGGAGAAGGAAATCAATTGCATCTTTTCTTGAAATCATGGAAACAGCGGTCAGTCTATCCCATTTTTCACTTAAGATTTCAAGTTTCTCCAATTGGGTGGTGTCCTCAAGCTGCTGGGCAAGTTGATTCAACTTTTCAATGTCTTTCTTGTGTTCATCAAACTCGGACTCCAGATCTTCATAAAGCACTAGCTGCTCATCGACACTCAAACCATCAAATGGGCCTTCCTCCCCATCCTCAGGAGTTTCGAGCATAGATTCTGCGTGTTGGAGCCAAGCTTCAAACTGCCTCAGGTTTGTGTTAAATTCACGCTGGGTTGCAGAACCAATTCTTCTTCTCTTCGCTACACCAGATTCCTGAAAGATACAAAATTTATTGATAAAAATCAGTAAAATTTATTAAAACAAAGAAATACTTGTTGAGAAGTAGACTCCCTTGCTGTGGGCCAAGTAAGATCGGAGCTAGAAGGACTGTCTGGTGGTGATTCAGATTTTGTTTCCGTTTCCATAAGTGTTGATTGATCAAATCCAGCATCAGCGACCTTCATAATTCATTGTTATTAATTCAACTAAAACTGAAAATTTCAACTTACTCTTCGAGCTTGAACATCCATTATTGACGTGAGAGCCTCAAATCGGTCTTGTAGCATTTCCGCATTGTCTGCTGCCTTACGTACCAAATCACTGTCCTCATCCAGCAATTCCCACATTGCAGGTTCACCAACTTTGTTGTTATTGCACAGGGAACTGAGCATTTGGTGCAGCGACTGTAGGTGCTCTTTTTGTTGGTTCATTTCAGCTTTCAGAACCTGCAGATTATTAATCCTTTGGGTCAGTGTGGCCAAGTCGTCACTTGGATTAGCCTCCATGTGCTTCAATGTGGTCTCCGTTTGCTGCATCCAGCTGCCAATGGTGTCTTGCTCACGCTGCAAGTTTTCCCATTTGGAAGAAAGCAAGTCAAGTCGAGCGCCTCGTTGCTCTGCCCAGTTGCAAATGTGGGCCCAGCGCTCACCTAGAGCTGCCAGCTGATCTTCAAGTTGTGCATAAGCTGAAAAAATTCAATTGTATAATTAAAGCGTTATTTTGATACGCTGAAATTGATTACCAGTGTCATCAGCAGATGATCCGTCATCCACAACAACAACCATTGTGGAAAGTGAATCAACAACAGGCTGCTTTGTTTCTAGATCTCGCTGCAGGGCGCCAAGACAGTTTTTCAGTCTATTGATATGAGCAGGATTGACTTTTCCTGGCTGTCCTTTGCTGGCGTCCATTCGAGAAATCCGGTCCTCAGCATCTGTCAGCCAAGATCGCAGAGAATCCAGTTGATTTTGTTGGGCCTTCATTAAAGTCTCATGTGTCTCAGTCTTGATTTATAAAAAAATGTCAGTTTACTTAAATTCAATAAAAGTTAATTTTTTACCTGAATTTTCATTGCTTTCAACCGGAGCGCTTCCCACCTTGAATTTAGCAACCTTATCTGAATTTTTATCTCTGCTTCTTCGTCAGGCTGCAAAATTCCCTCTTGAATCAACCTGGCACCCTCGGTCAAAACAGCACCAACGGAACTCTAAAATTATATCATGAATTAATATTTTAAGAAATTCACAAAGAAAAAACTATGGCTAGTTAAAAGTTTTTAATTACAAAAAATATTGTTGGCTTGATTGAACAAAACTTATTAGAAGAAATTTTTCAAACAATTAGGCAATCCAACTACCTGGTGATCCGCAAGTTGCTGCAAAAATGCTTCATGTGAGTGGAATTTTTCTTTGGCTACTGCCAAGGCGTCGGCAGAGTCAATCGCCGTGTTTGCATCTCCATTTCCAAGAGAGTCTTCAGCTGCCAGGAGCCACGTTAGGACATCTTCAAGGGCTGTTTGGTAGCTCCCGATTTCCACAGAAGCGTTGGTGATGAGGCTCAGAGGCCGAGACGCACCACCCATATCTGCCTCATACTCCTCTCCAGCTCGGGAAGGCACAGGTAGGGAAACATTAAACTGAAATGTGGAAGTCTGCGTGATGGACACAACCTCAGCCCTTGGTGTTAAAGGGCTCGAGGGTGATAAAAGGTCCTGTTCCAGATTGGCTGCCTGCATTTCCGAGTGCGGCAATGATTGAAACAAGCACATCACATACATCATTATGCTTTTCTTGTCTGGCACAGCCGTATTGACATCTGTAGTAATTTAAAAAGTTAGTTATCTTAACATGATAAGTTACATGAAGTTAAAATTTATAAAAAGGTGCATTAATAGAAAAATTAATAACTTATGAATTTATTAGGTAAATTACCTTCAGGATCAAGCAGTCTTTCGATTCCCAGTTCGGACTGGGCCAATTTGAAGGCGTGTTCAAGTCTTGCGTTTTGGTGCATGCTTTTGACGTTTTCGAAGTTGAAAAGGTGTGGACGGTGCTTGTGGAGGATAGCGGTGAAGGCCAGACCATCAGACCAGCTGGTAGTGAAGTTTCGTATGTCCAGGTCATAGTCCTTGGTGTGCTGTCGACACCACGCCAGGAGTGTCTTCTCCAGGTTGGTTTGCTGCAGCTCTGACATCAGGGTTTTCAAATTCATTTGAACCTAAAGAAACATTCAATTTGTAAAAAATCCAAGCAGAATAATTTCTTTTTTAATACAACCTGCCAGTGAAGAATAATACTCCAGACGAGACCCAAAATCAATTTAGAATTTCCATCAACAATGTCATTGCTGCTGATGTTCACAAGTTTAACCTGGCATAAAAAAATTTATTTTAAATTTTAAGTGATTCTTGGTAAAAAGTTGCTAGATTTTTGTCAAATCAAATAACTGCCGGAGAGAATGACTTCCAGCTTTCAGCCTATAGTTGGGTGCAATTAGTGAAATTGGCCACCATAAAAAAGTGAAAGTGAAGTCAATCTACCGGAGCAAGTGCAAAATGACATGTCCGCAACACATTGTTTTACTGGCTTGAGAACATGTTAACTCATTTATTAATTTTAATATTAAAATTAAAAGAAGCACTCTATGGGTGATATAAAAATTGAAATTAATTATACATACATTATTGTGCTCCAAAATTTGCAACGCTTTGTTGACATTGTTCAAATGATGTACTCGCATACGACCTCGCTCTCGTCTCTAAAAATTATTTACATTTAAATTTTTTTATTGATCCACCAATATATAATAGATAATCTTTATATATAAAATTTTATTTCAAATCGCTGCACACTTACATATTCCCTGCCTGTGAGGATTTCCAGCAGCGAGAGCAGCCGTGTTCCATCACGCAGGTCAATGAAGAGGTCGTTGACTAAAGGTTGACCTCCCTGAAAAATTTGCTACAAACATGAGAAGAGAAATCGGCGGATTAATGCTTCCCCCTTTTGACTGCGTCTGGCCAATCGCAAAAAGATTCACAACAAATAACGTGTGTGTTGCAACATTGCAAGCGGTAAAAAGCAAAAATGCAATTTTTGCAATACAAGAACAAGACGGAAACCCACAAACTGCGGAGAGTAATTTTGCGGCCAATTCATGCAGGGGAAGCACGCTCAAGGTTAAAAACTTTGAAATGAGAAAGTCAGAAAATTAAATTATAAAAAAATTGTTATTATGAATAATAATCAAATATATGAAGGACATGAACAAGAATTAATTTTGTTGAAAAGTGTAGAAACAATTTTCAACAACGGGAACCCTGATTCTTATTTTTCACTATTTGTTCTTATGAGTTTTTTTCTCCAATGAAACAAACATTTACCTTTGCCAAGTAGGAGTTCATCCATTTGGCAAACGTCTTTTTCTGCACATCCTCCCGTTCGTCTGAAACACAGCAAGATCAAAGCAATGAATATTAATACCAACTAGGCAAAAAAGTTTAATTTTACTACGAAAGGATTCATTTCAAATGAATAATAAAAAAATAAAAATAAAACAGGAAAATTCATTCCTAATTAAAAAATAATAGTAATAATTCTGGCCTTATAATAAGGATCAAAAAGGTCATGCATTATTCATGAATGTCTTTAAAAAACGGTCTTCTGTGTGGGCTCGCGAAATTAATTCAATTTTGACGAAGGCAATTAAGCGTAATGGAGGTAATTGGCGCAGAGTGCACGTAGCATAGGAATTTCTGCTTGGGAGTGCGTGACCTATTAAATTCAAGAGAGAGAGAAGATCTGTCGGGTTATATCATTGGTGCTGGCAAGTGTTTGGTTTCACGTGTGGCATTTTGTGTGTGTTTGTATCACTTGCATCCTGTGTTATTAGCGTAATTGCGCGTTCGCTCGCTCGCGGTAAGAAGAAGAGAACGGTTGAGATGCACCAACACCCATTTCATCGCAGAGAATGCGTCCTTTGAACACGTGGATGAGATTTCCAATGAATATATTTGTTCTGATTTTCATGACGGGCGAAAAGGAATCGAGATACTGAAAAGGATCCGTTTGCTTTGTGTATGCGGAGCGAGTACGCAGCACGCCTTTTTCGCGGAAATTCGCCGGGGAATGTTTCATCAAACAACTCGCAGCAATTGAAAAATACAGTGCGTAAAAATCAAAGGAATACTCAAAGAAGCACATTCTGTATCTATCAGTGGCCGATGTTTTTAGTATTTTTTTTTTTCATGACAGAATCAAATCGGCACGATTTACGTTTATATAAATTTTCTATTTGAAAAATAGTGCCAAATTTTACTTCCTCAAAAAAAATATAGATCATGATGAATTTATTTATAAAATAAGGAATAAATTAAAAAAATATAAGGTTAATTTTTTTATCATTTTATTTTATATTTTTCGATTCATTTTCGATTGTTGAAAAAAAAAATTGTAATGAATGGAGAAGAAATAGTTAATGACAGAATAATCAGCAGATCGTGTTGTACAAGGTGCTAAATAGGCCCGCTTAAAAACAGATGGAACTTGAGATTGATTCTGAGAGTTGGCGCCGGTCCAGCCGCAGATGACAAGGACCAGCCGGTTGCTTTTTTATGCTCGGAACATATCATATCAAATTTAAATTCAATTTATAATATGTAGCATGAAAATTTTTAATATTATGGCAGTGTTTATAAAAAAAATGAGTAGTGAGGGTTCTCAAAGTTAATGTAATATGACAGGGAAAATTAATGTTTCGGCTGGCAAAAGTCTCTGAGCATAAATTATATAAAAAAAAAACATGCAACACCAAAACTGGCTATTTTTGCGTTAATGCAATTAAAATTCTAAAACTTTCAAATCCAGATCATTCAAAAGGTGGGCCACTCATTCATGAACAATTTTTTTTTTAAATTAATCAGGAATTTAATATTTTGGCACGTTATTATTTAATTTGATAACAATAATTAATGAGCTAAGTTTATTGAGAATGCAGGATTACATTATAAAATCTTTAGCAACAAAAAATTGTGTGCGCAGGAATTCTTGCGTGCTTTTTTAACAGCTCTTTAAAGCCCTGACGGCATCTATTAATAATGCTTTATAGCATCTGGCTGCCTGGGCGACATCAAAATATTCATTAGTCATTCGCCAGAGAGGGCGACAGGAGAAGTCTCGCCTAATTGTAATCCTTATTGTCAGAGACAGAGACGAGAAGAATGGAATCTTTGAGCCTTTTTTATTTATAGATTTGTTCAAAACATTTTTTTAATAAATTTGATATTAAATTCTTCCTATCAAATATTTCCAGATAACTCGCTAGTTTTTGTTTTAAAATTTAGAGTAGCAGAATTCCAACTCTACAAATTTCACTACAATGGTCATTCCTCTTTATATCTTTTGACCCAGTAAAGACCCTGACGCTGCTCCAATTGAGTAGGAATGCCGCGGCCATTCATCAGACATCGGTTGAAAATAGAACGCGTAAAATTTTTCAATCAAGCCACGGATGCTAACATTAGTATTGTTTAATCCTCGCAGATTAAGCAATTCTTCAAACAGTAATTTCTTTTATTTCTACAAAATTTTACGGAACAATCAGAGTCACAAATTAATAGGAAAAACCAACATAAAATAATAATTAATTGAAATTATAAAAACAGCAAATGTGTAAGAAAAAGATTTCTAAAATATGTTTCTTGAATCAGTTGCATGGAGCAGGTAGTTTGCTCATGGAATAAAGTCACAAACCGTGACAGAAACTGGTGTATCTTTTAAGTTTTGAACAAATTTTAAGACGAAAAAGCATTGTCACTTTGTAGCATGGAATGAATAGGATTTATTTTTGAAATTTAAAAATAAAATCATAGCGCACTAAGAAAATAAAGGAGAAAAAAACATTGGAAAACAATAGTGGGAACATTCAGAAAATGCTTAAACATTCAACATTATTGTTAAAAAATGGATGCTTTGTAAGGCAGAGTTTTAATAAAAATTGTCAGTTCATTTTTAGCCTAAAAAAAAATGTGTAAATGTAAACAGTTTTTTTTTTCGAATTTAGAATTTTATGCCATTTATTTCAGAGTAGTTTTGCCATTATAACTCATTTTGGTTCGTCCAGCTCCTTTCATTGTCAGACGGTTTGTCAATTTCAAGTAGGTGGTATCAATCGTCTCATTATTCAGGCGGATTTCGTTTAATTTCGGTTTAAAATTAAGCATACAAAAGTTTACGACCGTCCAAGTTTCCCAAGCAACAGTGAAATGAAATTCCATGAAAAAAAACGCGACCGAGCATTTGTTTATTAAAGAATACAATTCAATTCTTTATCACTGCAACGGATAAATTTATTGACTTATTTCGAGAGAATAAACCATTATTGAAACCATTTCCACGAGATTAAACAATCTCTCGCCCTCACACAAACGACCATTTGGAGCGAATGATCTAAGGACATGTGCTGGAGAGAGAAAAGTAATAAATTCAAAACGAGCAAGTTGTAAAATTTAAGGTCGCTCCATTCGCTAGATTATCACTGACAACTTCTATAGCTGTGACATCATCGCGATCATAGATGAGAATTGTTTAAGATGATTGAAGCTTGGTTGGAGGCGGGAAAAAGAAAGAAAAGAGTGGGCATTGGCAAATGAATGAATGTGGGACGCGCGCCGATGATCCTCCTAAATCAGCTGAATACGATAAACTTTGTTTACATTTTGCATTCTGTTTTCGCTCAAATATCCTTGACGAAGTAATAAATAAATACGAATACAATATGTGTTGGAGAGATGATTTTTTTGGAAGCGACTTAGCAAAATCTACAAAACCAGTTACTTGATTTTTGCAGCCAAAGATGACGTAATTTTGAATAAATTATACCAAGAGGAACAACAGAAACTAAGTCCTGAAAAATTTTATTTTCACAGTTCTTGATTCTACAAGAAAATCAAACAAGAATTTAAACAAGAAATAATTAATTTTAATAATTAATTAAAACTATATTAAATTCTAAATTAACGTCTTAATCATTTTTACTCTAAATTGTTTTGATAATAAATAATAATATTCAATTATGATAAATTAATTTAATTAAAAATAATACCAAAAAATTTTAAAATTTATAGAAAAAAATAAAAATATATAATTTGAAATCAATTAAATTAAAACGTTCCTGAATAAATTTTTCTGTTTCAATTTATCCAAGAGTGGTCGAGTATTTTTCATGGTAAATATTCAGGCAAAGAGCTGCAGAAAATTCTACACTTGTAAGTCAGCAATGTTTTTTTTTTTCAATTTTGCCAAAGCCATTGAAACTGAATTGATTTCTTTTTTGGTTAATTTTTGACAGCTAAAAATAATTAATTTTGAAAAGAATATGAATTGGCGCCTCTCATTTGCTTATTTGACATGTCAGTGGCAAAGAGCGAACATCGCCGTCAGATATTCTTGAGCAAACAAATCGCTCTCATTGGCCACTCACGCACCCTTTTCACGTTTGTTATCTGCCGCGTGTGCAGATGACATCAGCGTTGGGAAAACAGCAAAATCATTTTTACCAACCGACTGAGTGAGCGAGTGTCTTGCTAAAGTGAAATCTTCCCCCTCAGTCACGCGACCGTCTGTGAAAAACGCACCCCCTCACATGTTAGTCATGGTTGCAGGGGGTGAAGTAAAGCGTGTTTCTGGGTCGGCAGCCGAAGCGGGTCAGTGGAGGAAACTGCAGATCAATTTCGGTAGTCGATAAATAAAACATTTCTGCGCCAACTGAAAATCTAGCACGGGGTGGGTTGAGTCAGGGTGCAAGAATGCGCCAACTTGAGCCGAGCCAACGAAGAGTATTTTGGTGGCGCTTCCAGAATTTATGGGTTTGCTGCTGACTCGGATTCGCCACAGTTAATTCATATTCATATTAAGCTGGAATTTGCACAGTTTAATTATATTCTAGAGACACAGAGTTTTTGTTAAAAAATATTTTTATTCAGGCAGAGCCATTTTCGACCAGAAATTTTTTATTGATTTTATTACTATTTTTCTGCCCTTTTAGCAAGTTGCATTTTTTTCTGATTTATTGAATTTTCTTTAATGAGGAAAGCTTCATAATTGATTGAATTAAATTTAAATTCCAAAACTAATGATTTGTGGTAAATAAAAATTCCTTTATTTGCAAATTTCATTAATTACTTTACTGTTGCTCAAATTATTTATTGATTTTATATTTTGCACTCATCTGAAGAAAAGCGAAGAAAAGTACTTAGCAAATTTAAATATTTATTTTCATTTTTATAAATTTTTTTCCACTTTCAATAAATGAATCATTTTTTAATATTCAAGTGCATAATAGACTGGTCGTCATTGATAAACTTAACATAATTATTTAAAAAAAAAAAAAAATTCAAAACCGGAACTTTTTAATAAAAAATTTCAATGAGGACAAAGTCTGGTTTTCTTCCCTCCAACATGTTAGAATTAATTAAATGGTTTTAATATTATGTAATCAACAAAATAAGTGAATAACCCATCTTTGACGTTACATAAATATTTAAAATTATTTTGCCGACACGTCTGTGACCAGTACGAAGATGAGCACGCAAATTGAAGACGTTCAGTCATGTACTGTATAAAAAAATAAGCTAAAGCGCTGAATTGCCAACAAGGAGTCGTGTCTGTTTGCGTATCATCTTTTTGTAATAAAATTTCCTTTAAGAGTGGCTCTCTGTTAATCATAGCAAGGACAGACTTCCAATTTAATATAAATTCGGGAAAAAAATCGAAAAAATTAAACACAAAATGTGTACAACTTTTCAACAAACAATTAATTATTTATAAATCATTCTCGCAGCTTCAGACAAGCTTAAATTATTTTTACAGCATTCACTAAAATGATACAAGTTAATTTTCAACCCACATTTTTTACATTAAATTTGCAATCACTATTTTTTAATAATTTTTTAATATATAAAAATATAAGTCTCATTTAGCAAAGGAATGTAATAAATACATATTTTAATGTACGAACAAAATTAAATTTTATGTAAAAAAAATGGTTTCGTTCGGTTTCGTTTATGATTTGCACTTCTTTAAAATTTAGATACTTTTTTTTTAATAATATTCAGAAATCTCAATAAACCTGTTTTGAAGTTTAGTCGTACGATATGGCATATATTTTTATAAATTGAGAATCAGAGAGAAGGGTGGACACAGAAAACAAGCCGAGCGTTTCGGAGCTTTCGCGTGCAATTTGGTGTCGGTCGGTGGCGCCGGCACCGAAAGTCGGCGGCGGCCCCGCCCACAATCAACAGGTAAATTACATATTTCGACACCTGCCTGCACCACCGCGAATGTAGCCCACTATCAGCAAAACAAACTCCTCTTATCAGCAGTCAAAAAATTATGTATTTTCACGAAAGGCTATCGGCCGCCGAATGCCAATGTCGGAAGGAAAAAATTTTGCCAGCAGGTGGTTGATCGTTGATCATTCCGCGAATTATTTTCGCACTCACCGACGTAAAGTAGCTCCATGGTGTTCGCCAGTCCGTCGAGGGGGTGTCGTCCGGTCAGGGCATTTGGGTCACTCGCTGGCCCCGCCGAGACGGCCCACTTTAAGGCCCCACACGAGACGCACCGAACGAGACACGCCGGAGTTTGCTGCAAATTCGTGCGCTCGGCAAAATTAAAATTGGCCGGTAAAATCGGCGGTGCGGTGCAAAGTCACTTCTTTTCTCGTCACTGAACGCTTCAAGTGCACTCGACGAGTCGACAGGCGACAGACAGAATTCACGAAACAGGCCCAGCCGCAGATCAAACAAGTTTTTTCTCCCTCTCCATTTATGGAGCTGCTTTTGCTCGCCTGGCTGCTTTTTAAATGTTTTTGTTCCAGACTTTTCCGTTGGGGGCGGCAGCGCAGCCTCAGCACAATCGTGGCCATAATCGACCGTAGATGGCGTTGACTCGTCTCATTTTGCCATTAAATTATAAATTTTTCAATTTTAATTATTTTAAGTAATGGTGGTATTCTTATGAATAACTAATTTGTAAACTTGCCTGCATCATCAATCACTATAGTAATTAGTCCTTTTGCAGCAAATGGAATTAACCGGAATCTACAAATTTGAAATTTAAAATTTTTTAATATATCATTTAAGAACGGTAACAAATGTATTATTTTATAGTGATGTCTCTTAATTGTTCATTTGTTCCCTGTTCCCTACACCCTTTGGTAAATGTGAAATATATTTTGAAAATATTGATAGACACCAATTCATGTATCTTAATTAAGAAAAAAAATAAAACACAACGGCAATAAATTTTTGAAAATTTGCATTCTGCCACACCAGGTTAAGGGAGGTTCTGTGATTAGAAGAGAGAAATATTAATACCTTTACTTGGGAAAAACACAAACTTTTGAAAAAATCAAATTCGAGAGCATGGAAAATATTAAAAACTATCACACAACATTAACGCGTGTCTCAAATTTTGGGGCAAGTTTTCAACTTACATATCCAGCAGTCCTTGCAATTGCTATGCTCATAATCAAGCGGACAAAAAACCTCATCGTCTTCTGGATTGTTGCAAGTTGCAGAAGTGGAAGAGATGGCCGACTCACTATCAGAATCGGCCATGCCTGGAAATTTCTTCAGCCCACCATAAAATGACTTCAAAATTTTTGTTTATATAAAATGAGCCTACTCTAAAAAAAGCTTGCCGCGTGATTTTACTTGATCAAATTTTTTGATACATAATTATTTATATAATATCATAATCAGTAAATTTGTAAAATAAGCCTTGAGTTAAAATAACTATGATCATTACAAATATTTTGATTATATAATCTTCAATTTTATATAAAAAATTATAATCTTTATAAAAATTTTAAGGGGCTTGAGGGCTATGGCAGAAATGATCCAACAAAGGTACAATAGCATATAGGCGCGCAATTTAATGTCTTTGTCTGTCTCACGATAGTTCTGTAGGGAACGACACAACAGTTGCCAGGATGCTCATGGCCGTTTTGTCTTTTTCAAAATAGTAAAAAAAGCCACGCCGCGCTCTAAAATTTTGAAATGATGTGTGTAATAAAAGTTTCTGAAGACAAAAGCCGCGGTAACAAAAACAATTTACGGGGAGGTCAGTTGGAAGAAAATCAAACGAGATCTAAAATTAGGTTTTACGACAGGCGGGCGCATTTGACTGATCTCTCTGATTTATCACCTAATTTTAAAAAAAGGTGCAAAATTGCTTCATTTATCAGATCACGTGAATGGACCAGATTTAGGCGATTGTCAACAACCCATTTTTTTCGTGCAAATTATTTGTTTGATCTTTTTTGCAAGATGAAATAATGTAAAAGGCATTTTTTTTTTTCAAAAGATCACGATCAAACAGTTTCATGACAGTTGTAAAAGAAAATAAATTTTTTGGATACATTTTTTCAAATGGCAAAATATTCAGATAATAAAATTATTTTTATGCAAACTGGATGCATTTTGACAAATTATTTACTCGACATAAAATAACCTTTAGTACTTGTTTTTAATAATTATTTTCTGATGCGTTTTGTTTACTTTAAAATTCAAGAAATTAGAGGTCAAGCAGCTGCAGGTTAGGACTTTTACTTTTTTAGGCAGCTTTTCTTACACCAGACAATAACAAAAGCAGCGGAAAGGGTTGCTTTTGACGCGCATCTGCTTGGAAATAAGCTGCTGGTTTTACGCACAAGGGCGCTGGCATAAAAATAAACTCGCCCAAGAAGCTTCTTTTGACACATCTGCCAAATGGTAAAATGAAAAAGGGAAAAAGCTTTAGTTGGAACAAAGAGCCAAAGGCGATAATATTTATTTTTATCTGAATTCATCACTTTTCTGAAAATCTCTGCTGAAAAATAATGCCACACATTCATCTACAGGCGTGGTCAAAACTGGAGATATTTTTTGCATGTCTGCGTGTTTGAAATATGAATCAAATTTATCTGCGCTGTTTTAAACAACCCAAGTTCATAATAAACCACAAATATTATATTTGCTTTTTTTGCGGGGTTAAAATTTAATTTTTATTCCTCTGAACAAATTTGAAAAATTTTAATCAGAACTAATTCATCAATTCAAATAAACTTATGTGTTTGTTATTTCGGAATTTGATTTATTTATTTATACTTCGCTTGGGTATTAAAAGAGTTTAAAAATTGAAATAAATTTTCAATTACGGTTTGAAATGTAAAAATAAAGTCACCGGAGAACCATGATAGAGCAAATATCCGTCTGCTATACCCTTTCTGTATTGTTGCCAACAAAGGAAAATGATTATGTGCGATTTTGTGACTTTTAGCTCTCATTTGGCTCAAGCGCATGGGAACATTGATCTGTTCGTTATTCATCCACCCTTCCGGAAATGGTACTGGAAAAGGAATTCTTTTGATGTAAAATGATGTGCATCGTTGTTTTAAGTTTTTGTATTTTTTACTCTACACTTTCGAGTTGTATTTTCAAAAAAATATGGGAAATTAATGTTCACACTTTAAACGGTAATCCTTTCGTCTTTATTGTTCCACATTCGTCACACTGCATAATCTGGGTTAACTGACTATTCTCAGTTTCCTTGAGCTGCAGGCCGGGTATCCTTTGAATATATGTACAGGTGGTGTAATGAGCTCTTTTTCATCTATTCATTAAATATAAAACCGTCACCGCACAGGCGCACAATTGAGACGCACACAAGAGCGCTAATTAGATTAGATCAGAATTATTATTTAACTTCTATGAACGAATTTGAAGTTTGACTTTTACAACAAGTCATTTACTTATATTTTAGAGACAGAAGTGAGAAGCGGGATGTTGAGCATAAATTTTTTTGATCCTGCAGCTGACTTATCCTTGTGCAAAAATAGTGATCGCAGTGGGAGTCCTTTTACGGTTCATGCAAAAAAGTTATTTTTTACCCATTTTTGTCGTAATTATTGTTTATTCTATATACGAATGAAATCGCAGAAAAATTTATAAAAATAAGTTTTAAGAATGTGAAGATGGCAAGCTCTCAAAACAAGTCGCTGAAAGGTGAGAGTCTCACGTTGGAAAATTTGCGCCGCAAACAACTCATTGAATAGCGTTTGTTTTCTCAAAGAAATCTGACTCAAAAAGGGAAGGAGAAATTTAAAAAAAAAATCAGATAATTTCACTAATTAAGTCATTCGATAGGATAATTTTTGTGTTGCTCATATTTAATAATTAAATTACTGGTTTCCCCAAATTTGTTTCAAGTACAGAAAACACGGCCGGCGTTTCGCATTTGTGCGGACATATACAAAACGCGAGATGTTTAAGTCTTTTGTAAAATTAGACCAGAGTTCCTCTATAAGCGAGTTAGCCTCGTATGCGAGACCAATCAGCCTAAAAGTCACAAGACAAAAATAAAAAGCGACAATTGCGGTCTCAAGGAAATTCCTCGCAAGGACGGCAATGCTTGAAAAACACAAGTGTTAACAGCGGATAAAAAATTTATAGAGTAAAGCATCATCTCTGCGTTCCTAATTCCATGATGATAATTAGCAAAATTCTCTTTTATAAACTTACATTCAGCGTCTTCTTGTATGTCGTCCATCGGCTTAGCTTTTTTCAAAAGGGTAATCCCGTAGCATAATTGATGTGCATGAAAAAAAAAACTTCCCTACTCACTATAACACGACACTATAGTTTAGAAACTTATGCAGCCCGGCGTGCGTGGTTGGGGCAGAGCGGTTGCGAGCGCCTGCTTCTCTCGCCGCGCACTAAATAAAAGTTTTAGTCATCGCGAGCGGCCCGCGTGTGCTTTGCTTCTCGTCGTTTTTCATATAGACAAACATGATCTGCTGCCCCTGCCAAGATCTGCGGAGAGGAAAAAGAAATCACGCCTCCGCCGCCACCGCAACTTGCATCTCGACCGCCGTTTATTGCTCTCGGTGCTTTTTTGTTTCCATTTGAAAAATTTCAAAAGCGGAAAGGCAGTAAAATTTTAGCACTTCTTTTTATTCTCTCAAGCGGTTTGTTTGGGGCCTGGCTGATGGATGATCGAGACTTCGTCACTCTCGAGAAGAATGCGTGCCCTCTAAGTGATCCGCACGCACCACGAACGTCCGTCTTGCTCAACTTAATTAGCCTTTAAAGTGTCACTTTTTTGGGAGAGCGGCAGCCGATGCCGAAACAACGCTAATTCGTCGTTTGGCAGCCACAACCGGCTACTATTGTGTGCAGGTCACATTTATTTTTTATGTGCAAAATCCTCGATTAACAAATTTAAAATCCTTTTTTAAGAAGAGCGCAGGACTTTTGCAAAAAAGCAGCACAATTTACATTTTTTTTTTTTTTACAAATTTTAGCGGAACACGATAAAGTAAATTGATCAAGTGGAATAATCTAAATATTTTAAAATTAAAATTGCTCCATGTGGGAATGTTTTAAATAGTTTTTTCTCTACCTTTACATAATGAAAATTAGTGCAAATTACACGAAATCAAATAGCTAAATTTAATCGGTAGTTACCGGTAGTTCACCTCAAAATTTACATTTTGTATGGTGAAGATACATCAAACGCCTATAATTTTTGTAGTATCAAAATTTCATTTATTTTGATTGAAATTCAAAACCATATCAAACTACACAGTGAAGTTAAATAATTAACATAAAGCTAACAAATTACTCACAATGTCACAATAGTAATAATATTTTTACTTGGAACAAACTAAATAATCTAAACATTTAAGTTTCCTAACTCAGCTCCATTGCAAATTAACAAAATCTGTACGCTGTGAATAATATTAAACCCCTGCTTTTTGCAACGTTCCTTTTTTATAGGCTTTTGACCATTACTTTTGCAATAATGTTGTTGGTCATAAAAACAGAACTGTTTATACAAGCGAATGACGAACAAATTAATTAATCCCTATCCGAGGTAAAGTAAATATAAAAATAGAGCGCCTCTAACGTCTCTGCAAACAGTGCGAACGTAATGATATTTGGCGGGTGGAACAAAGGGAAAAAGTTATGCGCGTAGGCGGGCTAATTTAGTGAGCTGGGAATTGGATCTAGTCGGAGACGGACAGTCTCATTAGGGAAATTGATGGGCAACGTGCGCGGAATGATAAATTCGGCGCGTAATGCAATACTCACTTCTCATGATGGCCGCGCGCCTCGAGAGTGGATCGGGGACTAGAAAAACACAAGTGTGTCAATGGCCATCTCGCCGGTCCATCTGTCACCTGAGCAGATACACCACGCAGCACTCACAAACTCGTACTGAATATCTCTCGCTTGTATACGATCGAGTGTCTCTTGGGTTGTCGCGCGCTCATCACTGAACCCAAAATAAGAGAGCACGCCGAGTTCGCTTCACATCTCTATTGGGTCTGTCCATCGGCCCGTCAGGGGCGCATCTCATTCATTATTCACACATAGAGCGAGTGGCCCAAAATTTAAATAAGTTACACTTTGATAGAAAAAAATTAACTAAATATTATTTCATTCGAAAGCAAAACAAAATTTTTACTATTATTATATTATTCATTAATTGTTTTAAATAAAATTGATAATTTTATAATCTAGTATTTTTTGATAATTTGTTCAAAGTCCTTATAATATTATAGGAACACGTTTATTTTTTGTGCATTTTTTTTTTACAAACTTCGATTAATTTTACAGCCATGCATGGTGACCTTACAAACTTGACCCTCCAGAAAGATGTAGTTTTTTAGGAATGCTCATTAATCACCGTTGCGGTTAAATTGGATGAAAAATGGAAAATTCTGCAGTTCAGCCCGCTGGCGTTGTGTAAGTCTGCCAGGGAGTCGGGAGCTGTCATTTCGTTGGGCAATTAATCATGCAGCGGGGTATCATGCATCAGAGTGATGGGTTCATTTTTAGCTTTGTGACTGATTGGTTAGTGACGCCTTTGGAAGAGTCAAGGGTATGTAGCAAAAGATTTCCCCATATTTAAGAAAAAACTAAATTCTTTTATAATGAAAATGTTCATAATAATAATATTTGAAATCAAAATACTATAATACATAGATTTCCAGCACATTAAAATAATTAATATTTTTCAAGTGAACAGGCGATAAAAAGCAGCGTAAAAATGCATTTAAATTTTTTGACTAATTAAAGCCTTTTTAATTGTGAATAAAAAAACAGGAATTCTAAAAAATTTCTCATTGAGCCATTTTCGAGATGTATTTAACAATATTACCTGAAAACTGAGCTCAATCTTAATATGTCAGGTATATGAATCATTCAAAACACGTAAGATTTAATTTTATTATATGATACACATTGTATGTTTATTAGCAAACAGTAGCAATAATAGCATAGTCATACGTTAATATAATTATTTCAAGTCCACAGTAAAAGCAAGCTTGTATATCACAAATCATCATCTGTATCCTTTTGTGTTCCACGTCCCGCATTGATTGTGTTCTAGGAAAAATGCACTTTGATGCATACTTTTTTAGCTCCAATTTACATGTGATATTGTGAATAAATCAAAAGTTCCTTTAATTTACTTAACATCAATATTGTGCAATTTTTTTTCGATTCGTGCTTTGTGCCAACTTTGAATTTTGTGCAAAAAAATCTATATGAAAATTTGATATTCCTACCTATAGGTTTTTTCAAGTGCAAATATATTTTGTCAAACTGCATCCAAAATATGTTGATAAGAACGCTTCTATTGTTGGCAAGGACCCTCTTAACTAATCAGCTCAACAAATAATATTAGGCACAGGAAAGTAGTTTGTGTAGTAATTTCAACTTCACATATCTGATAATTATTTTCGATCTGAAGCATTTTAGCCATTTTTTCCGTCCATTTCTCAAGAGTAGTTTTTTGCTTTAGAATGAGAATGGTTCTAGTCCAAAAATATATATGCCCGTATTAAAGTAAAGTTGTTTACTTGAATACTGGTACATAGATTTATACAATAATTTTATGACTGGAGGCCAACGCCAGAGATGATGAACAATTTAGATGACTTGGGCGCTCACAAATATATACTGCGCTAGACACGTTGAAAGTTTTTCTTGACCAACTGCATATATAGACATAGTCAAATCAAGACTTTATGAAATTGTGGATAAATTTCCACTTTTCCAATAATTGCCAAAAAGTAGCTCTTGTTTTTATAAAGTTTTGACTTTACCACACCAATGTGAAGTCCTTAAATAAACAAAGTTTTTTCTCTTAATTTTAATTCACCCGTTTTTTGCATTAAGCATGTCCATTTTAGTGAAGATTTAAAATGGGTTTTCTTTGTTTCATCAGTGATATGTTGCTTCAATAATTACAGTTTACGCAACTAGTATAGAAGTGTGTTTAAAAAATTTATACCTCTTTCATAAGGGTCTTCAAAAATTCTCAGGTAAATATTGTATTTCAGAGAAGAATTGGGCACTCGAAGAGACGTTCGTGACATTTGATTAAGCCTATCTTGGTTTATGACAAGAATGCTTTTTTCGTTTCAATTGTCAGCGTTATGAAATACTTTTATTATAGGCATCTAAGGGCACAGTAAGGGCACAAGAGTGTTCTTAGTAAGGTCAGAGGTAAATAGGAAAGTTGCTCGCTCCAAAATACATTTTTAGAAAAATAATCCAGCACGTTGAAAATGAAAATTTGGGGAAAAAAATATACCATCTGCGTAACTCCGCACTGCTCACACGCACATCAAGCGCTCCAAATTGGTTAAATGAGTTTCTCATCGCTCGAATCGATCCTTGGTCACTTTTTGTCTTCTGCGTCCAACGAGGTGCTTGAGCTGCACAACAATGTACTTGGTTCAAATGCATCTTCACGCGGCTCAGTCTCATCGTTCTCCTCCTCCACTTCCTCTAGCAACATGTCATCTTCCAGAGACATTGCCGTAGATTTCTTGATGGGGATCGACGACAGTCCACTTGCATTCATCGCCTGCAAATTCAAAATTGACCACACTTTTTTTAGCGGCTAATATTTTCTGAATCAAAAAAATCACAAATCAGATATATTTATTTTAGGGGCTCTAAAACTTTTTATATTAATTATACCCAAAATTATTTCTTATAAATTTCTTTTAATTTCAGAATGAATTAAATTAAACTTTAAATGTATTTATTTTAAAAGTTTCAAGCATACAAATATATCACTGTGACTATTGCTAAGAGATTTTTACCTGAAGATTACAACAAAAATAAACATTGAAAAATTTATTTAATTTGAAACACTGCTTCACACAAATCGCTGTGTATCTGACATGAAGGAGGGTTTATTTTTGGAAGGTTGATTCATACTTGAAAAATATATATTCCCATAATGGATATCACTTAAGGTTATGAAAAACTAAATTTCAGGAAGCATCCCAACGAGAGAGTTAGTGCCGGTACTTAAGGCCGTGCGTCCCCGAGCCTCAAGTCTTTCGCACCGAGATGTGTGTGCCCGATCAATACTCTGTAGTGAGGCGCATAATGGAATATCGTTGGCGAGATAAGCTCATTTCTCACGCAGCCAGGTAGACCAGCCGGCAACAGTCTGACCAATTCGCCACCAAATTTTCACGCTTATTCTCGCAAATTAATGTTTAAATAAATCGAAAGTGGCATTTTCTGGAAACAAACAAATATATAAATCGTACCTTGATCAGTTCCTGTTCCCAAGCAGCTTCTCGCTCCTCGCGCTCTTTCCGCTCAATTTCACGTTCACGATTGAAAATCCTGAACTCGGAGATCATTGTCGGAGATTCGGGATCGGCCAGATCTGGGTCCTAAAGATTCATTGGAAAAAAAACTTGATATTAAATTTTTTTTATAAATGGTAGAATCCTACAATCAATTGTAAAGTTGGAAATAGTTTTTTAGTACGACAATTATAAAAGTTAACAATTTACTGAAACTTGCCATACATATGCAACTAAAAACTTGAAGCGCCACCCTTCAGCTGTTAAAGCTGGAAGTTAAAATTTTTTCTGCATTTCAATTTTTAATGAGCAGTCGCTTGTGCGGAAATTGAATGGAATCCACCAAGCGTGACGGTTCAAATTATTATTCTTTTGAAAGCAAAGCATGGCAGACAAAGAAACGGGGAGAACGGATTTTCCGCGCTTTCTCATCAAGCAAGTTTAATTATGTATGAGCGCGTCTGATCCTCTTACCAAATCCAAGCTGGGCTGATTTTCGCGGATGGAACGCTGCTTGGCTAGCCTTTTCTTCTTCTTGTGCAAGGGCCGCGCCTCAATTATCATTTCCTCCAGCTCAAAGGTCGGATCACAGTTCAAGTGGCCCTTCTGCAACAATTGGAAAAGGGGGAACTTTACCATGTGTCAGTGTGAGAGCATGAAACAAAAAATACATAAAGTAATATGGATTTTGTCAAATTAAATATACCCAGCGTAAAAAAAATTAAGTTGGCAAAACCAGATTAGAGAAGGGATCGATGAATCTTAGGATTGGAGTGGAACATTGTATATAATGCGCAAATAATTTATTCCGTCCGTCGGGTCGGCTCAGTCGTTATTTTTCATCATGTCGGACAGGATGAAAAAGTAAAAGTGTGAGGAGAAACATGCGCCCTCCCTGTGAACTAAAAAGCTCTCTGTGTCTCTCTCAGTAACGCTTGTCAAGACAAAAACGCCCCAGAAGATCAATATATAAGGGTGTCCAGCCGCCTTTGTTCCACACCTCGGGGCTGCTCTAGCTTGAGAGCAAATTAGGGGCAGTGTTTGTTTTCCGCTTTGAGGCCATGACCAGATCATTATATATTGCATCACCGTTTTCTAACTTTTACGGTGTCATATTACAGATCTGCCAGTGTCTCCAGTTTCTGTTTTCAGCAAGACTTTGCAAAGTGCGTCATTTGGATAATTAATAAGATCGCGAGCACCCTCATCATTTTAATTAAAGATTCAGCTCTGATTTCCCTTGTTTTCCAAATTGCCGTCAAAGGCTTTGAATTTTCAGCTACTATGACACAAAAAAATGTGGATTTTTATATACTTACTGGTGGAGTAAACTGGGGCGTGAGAGATTTGCTGAGAATAGTCTCTTTGTCCGAGCCGGGCAGTAGGCTTGTCAAGGGAAGTTCCTGCAATGAACAAGGTCGCTCGCCAGGTCGAGCACTCAGCAGCTGTAATAAATTATAAGACAAAACTTTCAGAAATTTTTACTGGAGAAAATTAATTCAATATTTAATTATTTAATTAGGCAAGTCAAAAATATCGAGGGAAAAAATAACAATCAGTTTTTAATGTCAAGCTCTTTGCTTCGAATTAAATTTTCAGCAAAATCAAGCAACCTTAGCCACACGAAAGGTTTTGCCATTCCTTCAGCTCAATGAAATGAATTTTTATTTTAATTAGATTCAAAATTAAAATTAAACATCATAGCAATAAATGAGTTTTCCCAGCAGTTATTGCCCTCATCTGGCTAATTTATTTAAAACTATAATGCTGCCAGAACCTACTATAATGAATGAATGGAGGACAAAAATAGATCATGATAATTTGAAAGCAGTGCTTTTGCGTGCACGTTTAGCGCTAATCGAAATTTGACGTTTGCATGCAAATGAGTTCAAATCTCATTATCCAAATTAACTTTTGTATCTAGAACGTCACTAAGCTACGCAACACATCAATCTTGCTAATGAATGATATTCCGCACAGGGTGGCCAGGGGAGCGTGTGCTGAATAATAATCTGAGGTGAGTGGAGGTGGAGATGACTCAAATGATCTTTTCACGCAAATTGTGAGTGGCAGATTTAGTGGTTCTCACCCTGGTCAGAAGTTCCCACATGCAGTCGCTGACATCAGTCGGTTGGGAAGGTGGCGTTGCCAAAATGTTCTGAACGTCGCTCAGCAAGGTGGAAGAGTGGATGTCAAAGGGCCGCGACCCGCACACGAGCTCAAAGGCCACAACCCCCAGTGACCACCAGTCGACCGCAAAACTGTACCCAACGCACTCGTCGGCGGCGCACGCAAAAATTTCCGGAGCTGAAACAGAGGGAGAGAGACGGATGAATATTAAATGCCACCGGGCCGCAGCTAGCACTGGAATTCGCGCATATATCGGATTTTCATTAAGCTGCTGTCAGCAGGGGGAGAAAAGCGGTGGCTGCTTTGGCAAAAATGATCACCGGAGTTTGATTGGGAATTACGACGGGAATTCAATTTTAATTTTTTCCTAATTATTTTGCAGTTGAAATTATTATAAACTAGTTGTATTTTGTAATGACTGGAGATTAAATAATTTTTATTGAATAAAAAAAGAATATCATTCTTACCCATATAAGGCTTGGTGCCTGACATTGATGTAGCCAGCTGACCCTCTTCTAAAACTGACGCTATGTTAAAGTCTGTGATATGTGCATGACCTGAAACAAGAACAAAAAATACTACTATGAAACTGGCAAGTTTAGCTTTCTTTTTGTTGTGTAATTTACAACCTAAAATAATCTCATTTCCAAATGTCATTCGAAGAAATGCTCAACTACATTAATTTCACCATCAATTTTTTAGTGTGGCCGGTTTAAAAATTCTTTAAAACCAATTAAATTTTTAAATCAATGTATCTTTAATTTTAGTTTTATTTTCCACAATATTTTATTACGCTGGTGGTATAATTTGTATTTTTAATATTAATAGAGGTCTACCAGCTCTTAAATGTTGAATCTAACGCTCTTTTGGCCTACTTGATTTTAAGCGAAACATTTCAAATCAAAATGTGGATTGGTTTCAAATAATGTATTATAAATTATCATTGTTTGGCAACACTGGAAAAAACTTTGCCATAAATAGAACAAAATGAAAAAAAAATCACACCTAAAACTAATACGAGATATTTTTTGCATAGTTTGGCAAAAATTTGACCCCAGGATCACTTGTTGAGTACCCGCGGCGCGTTCCGGACCACTGCCGCTCGCGCACTCTTGATTCATTCAACGCACACGTCTGCCGATCGATAGTAAGCGAAAGCAGAAGGAACTCTGCTTGTCAACCCTCTCTCACAAACAGACAGACGCAGAAGGATATAAATTAAATCTAGAGCTCTGCAAAAAACTAAGCTTCCACCAGCTAGGAAACCAATTCATTTAAAATTGGCTGAACGTTGGTTTTCTGCACAACTGACGAATAAAAAAGCGCACAAGCCGACACAAAACAAGACTTTTGTCCAGGCCTGAATCTACATATTAATGACTAAAATTTAAAAAAAAATGCGTATGTAGTACAAATACATATAACATTGTTACTAAGATGCTCAAAGCTGCAAATCTGTCGCCAACTTTTAATTTCTTTTTATCAGGAAAAATTCCCTCTCAAACAGAACGAGCATAATTATAAATAATGAAAAATAGAGAATCAAAAACCAAAATTTTCCAGATAAAAAATTAATAAATAGAATCAAAAAAACTTCCTGACAATTCCTTTTCCAGATTTTATTTTCCCTACTTTCAGCTTTTTTAGACAGCACCGTGATTCAACAAAATTGCAACTGGCGATCTATTGTAGAGCAGGGATACAAAAATATAAATAAAAACCTCAGTGATTCCTCAACCCGATAAAAAACTAAACAAATTACCTAATCTTCTTAACAAATTTTCTTTTTTTTCATTCCTTCAGTTTTATCAGCTTTGCGTGGACCAACAAAATAATGCCAGCAAATAAAATATAATTTTCATTACAGAGATAAACCCCAATATAAAAATAAAACTATAAAATTGGTTGGTGCCTGTGCGCGCCGCCAATAAAGGGCACCGGCCGACAACACTTTATCTAGCCTAGCCATAAAAAGAATCCATTATATTTTTCATACAATGTAAATGCAAGATGAAAAATGTCTGGCTAACAAAAGCAAAACAAATTTTCAAAAGTCGCGAGCGTGTTTACTCCAGAATATTGGGCAAAACAAACAAAAAGCGACAAAAATCGATGCAGCTGTCTACTGTCAAGGGAGTAAAAGTTATCATTTGTTACGTTGCACACATATGTAAAAACGGCGGCGCCTGGAATTCCAGCAGTGCCCCTTTAATTAAGGCAATGTCGCTCCCTTTTGAACGCATATATGGCTCTCGTCGCCATGCAAATTTTTGGGTCGACGTCGGCATTCGTCCGCGCACAGCGTTTTTGTACTAAATTGTTGACTCAGCAGCCAGTCTACCATACAAAATTGCAGCAGCCAACCCCGTCTTCCACCCTTAAGACCTTTATTATTCATTTAGTTTGGGTTACTTTTGTCCAAAAGTCAAGCGGGCGGACCACGATATTCCATTCAAATCTTCCAAACTGAGGTATAAATGTTTTAATTTGTAAAATAAAAAATATCAATATTTAATTAAAAGGCCACTATTGTAGAAATCTATTAAAAAGAACGGTTATTTTCTTGCTCCTTTCATAAAACTAAAAATCAAGATTTTCTTTCAAAAGAGTGCGGTGTAACTCTAATAAAGTTCACTATCTTATTTTGGTTACATGTGAATTTGGTCTTGGAGTTTTTTAAATTATTGATGATTGGGGCAAAGCTAAATAATATGTATTTTAAACATGATATAGCTCAATTATTCTATTTTGGTTGAAATCCGACGAAAAATAATATTTAAAACAATTGAAAAAAGTCATCTAAAAAAATTGGTGGCAAAATTACGTTCAATGTAATTAATTCACACAGCACGAAATTTAAAAATTTAAAAAGCGCTATAGCAATTTGTTTAAACGCACCATAACAAACATTATACTTTCAAACACGCGCGAGGCTACAATAAATATAAAAAACACAACAATGAAAATTTCACGTACCTTCTTCATCAAGCAGAATATTGTCCGGCTTTATATCTCTGCAACAAATTTCCCAAATATCATTAATATTGTGAGCAAACGGATTTTTAAATGAGATATATTCACTAATACGATGTATTTAAAACAAATAAAATGAATGGAAATTAAAATATTTACCTGTGAACAATTGATCTTGACTGCAAATAGTCCAGCGCCAGGGACAATTCGTAAACGAACAAGGTAACACTTGACTCGGAAAAAGATCCCCTTTGAGAGAGGTGGTACCGCAAATCCCCGCCAAGCATCAGATCCGTCACCAGAAATAAATCCTCCTCGTCTGCAAAAAGGAAGCCTCAAAATCAATGTTTGGTTGGCGGAATGATTACCCCTTGCACCAAAAACGAACAATCCAGTAGCAATAAAGTTTTCACCGAAATAATGCAAAATTATTGGCAATCTTATTTTAATTGACACTGTCAAAAACAATAAATAAAACATTTTATTTTAAAGATTCTTAATATTGTGCGCACTTGGGGTTTGTTGGTAAATAGGTTGCATGGAAAAGTAATATTTTGTCAGCAAGAGGAGCGTTTGTATTTCCATGCGACTGCTTACCTTGAAAGGAGAACCACAAGTTGACGAGAAAAGGGTGATCTAATGAGGCGAGGATTTCAACTTCGCGGAGGACATTTTTTAAAGCGTCGCGCAGCCGGCACTGGGCCTTGCTCATGTACTTCATGGCGTACAGCTGGCCCGAGTCCCTCTTCCGAACGATGCAAACCTATCAACAATTTATTTATTTATTTTTAATTATTCCGCATCGACATATTTGAATGAAATTTAAAAAAAAAATTTAACAATATTGAAATAAAAACTTAAAAATTACTGCCATGAAGAGCTTTTTGACTGCGAATAAGACTGATTTTGCTTATCACAACTTGATCTCACCATTACAAGTAAAAAAACTGCACCCAAGAAAACTGCCTGTAGATCAACGGGGAGGGAGGGGATTACAATTTCTTAAATAATGTGTTTAGATTTATTGGGGGAGGGGGGATAATTTTTTTTAATTAGCAATTTTTATAATTATTTTCGTGATGTTTCAGATAAAAAATAGGAAAATCGTTTTTAGATGAAATTATGGCGAAACTCCTACTTATTTAAGTTACTTCGTTACTAATTTATGTTAAGAGGTCGTGCAAGTATCAGTGAAATCCCAGAGGTTGAATCTTGTATTCTATTGTGATATGGGTGCCTCTCCGCCTATTATACGGAGGAGTCGGAGGACGTCTTTGTTGCACAGAAGAGTGATTCAAGCAATATGCCAGTAGAAGTAGGCAGAAGATTGCAATATTCAAGAAATAATAAAGCCCTTATTGACTCATGTAAATTGAAGCTATGTATATAGTTTAATATAATTTATATACTGTACATTATTTTGGGTATAATGACAGCTCAAGAGAGTGTGCTTAGTTTGTGCGAAAGTGATAAATTCTAGGAGGAAAATATAAAAAAACTCTTTTCGCATTCAGCTTTTAATTAAAAGCAAACTGTCTGTCTAGGATTTCTAAAGGTAAAAATATGTGAAACGAGATAAAAAAAATTCTTACCTTCCCAAAACTGCCTTTTCCAATGGCACGCAGGATTTGGAAGTGATCAAAATTTACTGAAACATTGAAGAAACAGAGTGCTTATTATTGCTATATTTATTACCTTGAAGTAGCAAGAAGAACAGACAAAAATTGTAATAATCATGAAAGTTTTACATTGAAAAAATACTGAAAAATCAAAAACATAAAAATTATCAGAATTACAATATGGATAGTATGGCAACTGCGGTGGTAATTCTGAATTTTTTACAGGGTGGCTACCATATCAAATTATTTCACAGCTCACCCTGATGAAATTGAAACATTTCTTCAAAAATACGCCATGCTAGTCGCGTGAGGTTCATATTCAGTGAACTTTTTAATGACATACATCATGAAACATGGAAAGCAACTGACCGCGCGCAATAAGATGCATTTTAACCGGCATAAAGCGGTTCCAAGCTCGATGATGGAAAAAAATTGACGGTTCAGATTTTAATTTATTGAAATTCGGCGGCTTTTGCGCTCTTGCCACATACGCATATTGTAGTGATTCCACTAAAACCTGGATTAAATTCCTTAATATAATGCGTGCTTATCATATTATGCATCCGGTTTCCAGCCAGTTAAACAATTATAGTTAAATTAGTTAGTTACAATTGTGTTTATTAATGTGCCATTAAATTATGGCTGCAAGGAGATTTTAGATTAACAATTTTTGAATTATATGAATTATATGGGTTAAAAAGTGCTATTTAAATTACCTTGCCATTTCTGATTTCATCGAATTCAATACCAAAATAAATATGCCATTAACATAAAAAATTAAAAAAAAAAAAAACAGCTTTTGAAAATGTTGTACTAAAATCCCTGCGTAACACGTGAAAAAAATTATTCGACTAGTAGGAGGAAAAATATAAGACGATAAATAATTAAATCATCTACGTTGCCCACTCATATGCAACCGAGTCAAAAAAATCAACCGACAAACATCAAAGGAAATCACAGTTGCGGCCTGAAAAAAATTACTTATTTTTGTTAAAAGCGGTTAAAAGCCAAATATAACTTCCAGGTTTCATTTTTTATAATTGATCTCTTATTCAACAAAAGCTGCTTTTACTAGATAAAAATGGCTGCACTAATTAGCAGTTAGGCTGTACAAACAATTAAAGCAGAAATTGAATTAAAACCTCACCTTCCTCCTTCTCGCTATCGGAGCGGTTCACTTCGCGCCTGTTGGAGGGGTGCATCGCCCCCATGATTGTCAGCAGAGCAGACCACTGTGGTCTTCGACGGTCTCAGGAATCAGCAGAAACTTTTTCAATTGGGTGGTGAGGCCATGTCCGTCCGACCCTACCGCTGCCGACCACCAGACTGACTGGCGTGACGGGCTGGTCGCATTTACGTACCATATTTCACGCGCACTTTATTTCCTTTATTTATCGCTGCTCTTCCCCTCCGTTTCGCTCCTGCGCCCTTTTGACGATTTTGCGGCGGCACTTCCAGTGCCCCCCAGCTCACAGCAGGAATTATTTAATAAAATTATGTGTCGCAACAACACGGTTGACATTAAAATAAGAATTCAGTTTTTTTTTTAAATCCAAAAAAATTCCTGAAACAACCTTAATGAACGACCAATCAGCCCTATAGATTTAATTTATTTATTTTCCATTTGAGAATACCAAGAACAGAGAGTGGTAAAAATTGAACAATTTTATAAAAAAAGGATAAGCCAGATTTTGAGGTTAATTTATTTCATAATTGTCAAGAAAAACATGCTATCGAGCTCAATTTTTTTTAATGTAAGACAATTTTCCTAATAATGGGACACAAATAAATTGAATGGTACTTGTAAATTTACAAGAATTTTTATTTTAATTTAAGTAAAACAATGAAACCTCTGGGATTTTGTTAAAAAAGTTTTGAAAGACTTTTAAAAAGATAATCAGCAGTTTAGTTGATCTTACGTAGTATTAATGATGAAATGAGGCTTCCCTCCCGTCCTCCAAATTTGAAAGTTGGTGCAGGTATCCTAGATAATTTTGTAAATCCTGAAAAATTTTACTACTAAATATAAAGCAAGAAACAAGAACTTCTGAAAATTTTCGCATTAGAAAAGAATTGTACAAAGCTAAGATAAAAAAGTGCCTTACTCTCCGAAAATTGCGACTCCAACTCGTCTTCAGTGTAATTGCATGAGGTGAGCACCAAAATGCCATCAGGCGTTAATATTGAATGAACTTTCGTAATGTAGGTTTTTCTGTCCTCAGCTCCGTTGCTACTCAAGCCAATTGCGTCATAAGTTCCTTTGTCAAGTGCTACGTCAAAAGGCACATCGCCAGGGCAGGACTCTGCACTTAAAATATCCCAAACCTTTAACGAGAAAGAATTTGCATTATAGCAATTCCGTCCTATGAGAAACCTAAGCAAAAATGTTTGAAAAATCAAGCAACTGTGCCCATCTTTAGGACTAGAATTGTTCAATTTCAAACAATTTTCTTATATTGATTTGAATTTAAAATCGGCTTTTCCTCGATCGTGAAATTCTACCACAAAATTTTCTTTGCCCTCCCTACCCTTGTCAAAAACGAGACCGTTGGAGGTCGTACTCGAGTACGACCTCCGACGGTCTCGAACGACCTCATATTTTTACATGGTAAATGTTTAGGGGCAACGGTTGCCCCTAGGTCTCGAACGACCTCAAACGGTCTCGGGCGACCTCGGGCGGTCTCGGAGGTGTCCATCGACCTCGAACGGTCTCGGCGACCTCGGCCGGTCTCGGGTGACCTTACGTGTTAATAAATTGAAAACCATTAAGGGCAACTGCCACTCTGGGTCAAACGGTCTCGAGCGACCTCGGGCGGCCGCGATCCACCTCGGGCGGCCGCGATCCACCTCGGGCGGCCGCGATCCACCTCGGGCGGCCGCGATCCACCTCGGGCGGCCGCGATCCACCTCGGGCGGCCGCGATCCACCTCGGGCGGCCGCGATCCACCTCGGGCGGCCGCGATCCACCTCGGGCGGCCGCGATCCACCTCGGGCGGCCGCGATCCACCTCGGGCGGCCGCGATCCACCTCGGGCGGCCGCGATCCACCTCGGGCGGCCGCGATCCACCTCGGGCGGCCGCGATCCACCTCGGGCGGCCGCGATCCACCTCGGGCGGCCGCGATCCACCTCGGGCGGCCGCGATCCACCTCGGGCGGCCGCGATCCACCTCGGGCGGCCGCGATCCACCTCGGGCGGCCGCGATCCACCTCGGGCGGCCGCGATCCACCTCGGGCGGCCGCGATCCACCTCGGGCGGCCGCGATCCACCTCGGGCGGCCGCGATCCACCTCGAGCGGTCTCCAGACCGTTTGACCCAGAGGGGCAGTTGCCCTTAATGGTTTTCAATTAATTAACACGAAAGGTCACCCAAGACCGTTCGAGGTCGCCCGAGACCGTTTGAGGTCGTTCGAGACCGAGGGGCAACCGTTGCCCCTAAAAATTTACCATGTAAAAATATGAGGTCGTTTGAGACCGTCGGAGGTCGTACTCGAGGTCGCTCGAGACCATGGTCTCGAACCTTGAGTACGACCTCCAACGGTCTCGTTTTTTGACAAGGGTATGAAAAATATAATAACATAAATAACACCACTAATTTTTTTATACCTTAAAAGAGATGTTTAGGGCCATTTTATTGGCAACAGAACTTGCAAGATTTATAGCATGTTGGCTGTAGTCGACTCCAAGTAGATTTTCATATTCCTCCTCAGCCTGAAACCAAAATTTGAATATTTAACAATTTATTACTCTCAAAAAATTGTATTCTTTACACACCATTAATGACAGCAGCATTCCATTTCCACAGCCAATGTCTATTATCTTTGAGCCTTTTGTAACTTTCTCATAAGCATTCAACCATCTGAAAAAAATTCAATTTTTTTAAAATCATTTTTAACTCTTTTATAAAAACTAATTATACTTGACAACTCTCATAGCACTGTCCTCTCCAAACCATTCCTCGCCAACATCCCCATGGGACTGGAAGTTGTTTATTTCCAATTGATAGGTTTTATCCCAGCTGAAAGATTCAAGGCGATGAGATGATATTTATTATGTGTATAATAATATAATAAATTTTCAACATTACTATTCTTTTGTGCCTAATTCTGAACATGGCTCGTTATCTCCATCCATTGCAGTTGTATTTATTCAATTAAAATATGCACGGATATCAATATTTTCTTTCAGTCTAAAAAGAAAAATTTAAAATTTCACCGATGTCTTGTTTCGTGCGTTGACAGACTGTTCAAGTGTTCAATTCAAAATTAAACAACAACAAAAACAAAACATGTGGCCGGCTTTCGGTGAAATTCGTAAATTTTCGTAAGTAGGGCGTGGCTTATTGAAGGAGGGAGCAAAAGGACAACATTACAGGATTTTACAATTGACATTGACGATATTGTTTTTATTTTTAATAGAAAATAAAGTCACGTTGTACCAATTAATTTAATTTGATTATAAAATTTCATTTTTCTTGTTGATCAAAAATTTATTATATTGAAATCTTGAATAAATCAGTAATTTTATTTTTGTTTTTCTGCCGCTGTCAGCCTGCTTACTACAAAAATGGTAGCTCATCGATCATGATAGTTAGAGCCAATCCGAATCGCTAAATCGCTAGTTGTGTGTACTCTTGTCCACTCTTGTCTTTACGTTTTACCAGCGTTTTACTCGCAGCAAAAGAAACACAATCACACAAATAACTTTGTCGGTGTTTCCTTGCTATCCCTATTCGAAATTTCGTATAGGAACACAAATTTGAGCAGGGAGCTTCCGTTAAGTCTGCAGGAAAATGCGTGGCCGCGGTCGCGGAATGGGTCGCGGAGGCCTCCTCCGCCGGGGACCGGTCAAGTTTAGCAACCCTTTTGTTCCCCGATTTCCATTCGATCTTCTGTTGTGTGAATCAGCCTTCCCAAGGGTCACTCCACCCTTAGATGAAACCGCCCTGACAGAGGTGATTTAAATTTTTTAAAGTATGTATTTTATAAATTAAGATCTAATTTTTATGTTTCTCTTGCACAGGCTCTGCTAAAGAAAAGCACTGATCTCACTCCATCAACGCAGGACCAAACAGCCGTCCTAAACTTGGTCACCAAACTGCAAGCCGTTCTTGATGCTATTGTTGTCACCCCTGGCACCTTGGAAGCATGCGTAAGCCTTAAAAAAAAATCGACGAACTTTAAACCTCATTATTGGCAAATAATTATTTCAGCAACTCGCAGAAGTGCGTCAAGTTGGGTCTTTCAAAAAGGGTACTATGATGATAGGCACCCCTGTTGCAGACATGGTTGTCATTCTAAAAACGCTGCCAACTAGAGAGTCAGTGGAAGCTTTGGCTGCGAAGGTTGTTGAGGATCTCAAGGCTCAGGAGCCAGTTGAAGGTGCAGTGCAGTTGAAATATTGAAATTGCATTATTTCATAATTGCTAAAAGAAATAATAATAATTTTTTTTATTTAATTTCAGTTCTTAGTTGCTTAATAACAGAGGCTGGGTTTGACATCAGCAACACCGAAGTTAATGTGCACATATTAATTACGACAATACCACCAAACCTCCGCAAGCTGAACCCTGAGCTTCACATGGATCCTAAAGTTTTGTGCAGAAACCTTGCAGCTATAAGACACATGTAACAATACTTTTACTCATCAATTTACTTTTTAATACTTTTCCTGTTTATAATGAAGACGATGGTTTGAAGACAATGTGCACCACTCATCAGTCAAAGTTTTAATAAGAGTTCTTCGTGACATGCGATCAAGATTTGAAGGACTATCGTCCCTCACCCCCTGGATGATCGATCTCTTAGTAAGCATTTCAAAGCATTTTCTATTAGATTTACGTTCTTAAGATGTTAGGTGCAAACTGCACTGGAAAGCCAGAAAATAATTTTGTTCCAAATTATAAAAGTTTTTCTAAATCCCCATTTGGCAATTTTTAAAAACCTTTTTACATTTATTTTGTCCTCTGAAAATCTACATTATTGGTATAAAAAAAAAATCAATTTTACCAAATTTTAGTTTTTTATTTTTCTTTCGGTTCCAGGCCCATTACTCTGTAATGTACAATCCAAGTCGTCAAGCCTTACCTATCAACATTGCATTCAAGAGAGTTTTGCAACTTTTGGCTGGTGGTCTATTCTTACCAGGTTCAGCAGGTAATTAAATAATTATGCACTAGCGTAACCTCACTCCTGCTAACTTAATTAATAATGCGAGAGATTCTATAGAGCCCTCTAGGTACAAAAGATATCCCGGGATAAATGCAAAGGGTTAAAATTTATCCCACTGTTGGCGCTGTCCCGGCATATATATTTACAATCCTGCCTTCAATTTTTTTGGTCCCCAAGTCATTCCAGATAACTTTTTAACCGCATAATGGTATAAAAATTGAACCCGTGCTATAATCAAATCAGTTGGTTATTAAAAGATTGTCAACATGCTTGCGAACTTTTTTAAATTTTTGCCAATTGCAAGGATAAAAAAAATTGTGTTTGAAATTGTGTATCCAAATATTGTGAGGATCATGAAAATGAGGCTTAAATTAAAAACCAAAGCTTAAGGGCTTACGTTTGCCTCGTTGTTAATAATGTCTAACATAAAATTTGTCAGGGATTCCTGATCCTTGTGAAGGAGGCACTGTGAGGGTTCACACAGCACTCACCTTGGAGCAGCAAGATATTTTATGTTTGACGTGTCAGACTTTAATGCGAATACTGCAACATGGTGGCTACAAAGTCATTCTTGGCTTAGAAACATTGAAAAAAGGTGCTTTTTAGACTGATTTTTTTTACTCTTTGTTTAATGTTCTAAATTCCCTTTAGACATTCTCGTTGAGCCTACAACGTGGAATGGCATAACTGTGACGCCCCTGAACATGTGCTATGAGAAGCCACCTGAGAAGAAAGAGGACGATGAATGCACTGAAGATATGGAAGCTGAAAATGCATATGAAGAGATGGAAACTGCTGATCAAGCATAAAACGATAAATTTGCCCTCTGCGCATGAGTCTAGTAAAAATAGGCAAAAACTTCAATTCACTTCAAGTAAACAGTAATTAAAATTTTTATAGTTTGCGCCGACCATGCATTCGAGTATGGGGGCCAGGGCGGCCACAAGTTCATCATCATGCATACCGTTTTAGAAATTTTGGTGCATAATTTTCAAAAGTTAAAATTAATCCATGGGAATTTCAAACACAATTTATTAGTTCTTATTTTGAAATTCCATTTAAGTGTGTGAGCGCTTGTGTGATTTTAGCACCTTGAAGGGGGCATTCAATATCTTCAAAAAGTTTTGTAAGTTGTATTGTATGTAGCTTTATAAGTTATGCATTATGAAATTTTAAGAAACTCCTTTTAATAGCACTACAATAAAAAAAAGAAACCTCCCTCAGCATTGGTCAAGAAATTGTGTTTAAAAAATTTAAAAAAGCATTTTTTAGGAGAATGCTTGAACGAAGTAAAATAATATGTAAAATTACAATTCATTTCAAAATTTGTTCTTTTGTGAGGAAAAAATTGTTAAAAAATTAAGACAGTAAAAAACAATAATTTGCTTCACAGAAAAGAAAAATTAGTTAATGTATCTTGCAGAAAAAAAAAACAGAATGTGCTTGAACATTTCATCTCTGTCAATTCATGGCAAAATCATTTCAGTTCCCTGCCCAGGAAAAACCCTTACTCTTAAAATGTATTATAATTTTTGCTTTCACATTGAATTTTCAAACCTTAAAAATATTAATGTATATCAGAAAAATGTAAGAAGTTTGGTAATCTAATATTTAATTTAACTCTAATTATTCAGTCACATTTTCTTAAAATTTTGAATGTTAGAAATTGAAAATTGTAATCAACAAAAGTTTTGTGAGGGACATTAAAAAAAATGAATAGAATAATGATTATTTTTTTTTTTTTAGTTCCTACCACGTGCACAGCACACAATCATGTAGTTCTGAACCCTCCTCCACTTGACTTGACTCCACTGATTACCCCCTCCACTGACTGTATTTATTATGATTATGTCATACAAAACAGCGAGCCGCTGCGCTGAAAAGCCAAGGCATTAAAAGAGTAATAGTGAAATGTATTTCGACATCGGAGTCTGACTGTATCCCTGAAAAACATATGCATGTCCCGAAGCGGACGCATTTTTACCAGCCCCTAGGTCATACATCAGCATCCCTGATCGTGCCTCCAGTCTCCGCAGGCATCAAGAAGTACGGTGGAAAGTGAGAATATTGTTCACATATATCTCAACGAGTCTCCTTATATGGCCTGTTTTAGAAAACGACACTGCTAGTCTGCTGCTGTGGCGAAATTATAGGATCAAACTATGGAAGAGGCCGCGATCGGACCAAAAAATGCGGTAGACTTGTCGGCATTGCAAATTGAGGCCGGGGTGCCTGTCGACGAGGAGCTCGCGCCCTGCCCCAACTGCGGGAGAACCTTTGTGCAGTCGTCCCTTGTGCGGCACATCGCCGTCTGCTCAAGGTCCTTGTCTTCCCGCAGAGGCAAATTCGATTCTTCCAAACAACGCATCCAAGGCACCGAGCTCGAGCAGTATTTACCACCGCCCGTCAAAAACAGACCTCGAAGTCGATCAGTTCCAGCCGTTTCGGGTATAAATTTTACTATACATACACACATACACTTTAAAAAAAAATATTATCATATGTTAATTTAAGTATATGCACGGTCATTAAATATCTAATAATATGGCAAAATAACAAAATCAATAGTTTAATTCATGTATAATAAATTATCTTCTTTTATTGAAATTTATTAATAAGCATAAATGAAATAATTTTCAGGTGGACCTAGGAAATCTCTAATACCTCAGCAGGCAGTTCACAAAAAATGTGAGCACTGCGGGCGCAGTTTTGGCGACAAAGCGATCGACAGACATCAAGAATGGTGCAAAAAGCAACAAACCCTGCTGAAGCAGCCAGCAATTTCTTCTCCAGCTTATGCTCGGATGCAAGCTCGAACACAGGCAAATATAAAATAGAATTATTTTATCCTGTTGTTTTTTTAGTTGCTTCTTGTAACAAAAATTTTTAGTCAATTCCAAATTTATTTATGTATTAATCATTAATCAAACTTTTCTATATACACAGTACAAGGCACCACTAGCCAAAACTATGCGTTCAAGAACTAGAGAAAAATACTCTCCGAGTTCAACAAAAGAAACAAGCAAAACTGCAACGCCAAGGAGCTCTGTGTCGCATCCTCCAAATAAAACGTAAGTGGGAATTTGTATTATGCATTCTAATGGAATTGTTCATGAAGTTGTTAATTAAAGGCAACCGAAGGCAACAATAATTTTAATTAATTAATTGGTTTCTGCTGTAGCGCTTAAGTTTGCACACAAAGGCGTCAAAGTAGTTGATCCCCCAACTGCAACTGTTATTTGTTGAGAAAATAAAATAAAATTAGATCTGTGAAAACCTATAAAGAAACACCCAATATACAATGAATTTAAGGAGCCCCTGGAATTTATTAATTTTCTTTTTCACCAGCGCATCTATCAAGGATACCTATCATGATGTATTTCGTTCTGCTGAGAGGCAGATGCAGGAGTTGTTGGGGTCACCTCTGCCATCAAGGAAATCACAGCCTTACGTTATTCAACAGAAAGCAGACATAGAGCTCAACCTTGACGAAAGTTTTATCAAGGCAGAATTGAGGTCACCGAACAGCCGCAAGATACACGAGGAAGATGACAGTTCGATAGAAGATGCTCTCAACGAAATCTCCCACCAGGACAGCTTCAGCTCCATAGAAATTTTCAAGGATGAGCCGCTGGATGTAGACCAAGTAGAAGCCGAAGAAACGGAAATCAGGGAATGCAGCTCTAAGAATTCTGACGATGACGACGTGATAAAAGAGGCATTACAAAGTATTAAAAAAGGCTTTGATGAAGCATTTCAGGAGCAGGAAGTACAAATCAAGGAGACGTTTACAGAAGAGAGTGTGCTGAACCATCTGAAGGCAACCCTGGATGGAACGCTTGACAACTGTCCACTGACTGAGTCGCTCAACTATCTGGATGCCGCACTGTCTCTTTTTCAATTGGACGACATCCCGATGCGTCCGTCCAATGCTCCGAGGTCAAGGGCATCAACCAAGCGTAGGCAGTACTCTGTGGCATCACCCTTGACGCTGCTTAAGCCGGACCCAGAAGTTAAACAGCAGCTATGCTCCACATGCGGAACTGCCTTCCCAATGTCTACAGCCAATTTCTGCTGCCTTTGTGGAACCAGACGGTCTGATTAAATTTTTTACACGAAGGAATATCATAGATGAATCAACTACTTTTTTGCTGCTGAAAATAAGGTTTGCAACTACATATTTAGTCATATATATCAAAACTGGAAATTTTTAAGGCATTTACTGAAAAGTCTAATTTTTAGTATATTTAAAAGTGAATGAAATCCATGTTGAAAAATTATTTTAATTGAGAATAATAAAAGAGGTGCATTTACATTTTATGAAAAAAATCTCACGAGGCCCCGTTAACAGTATATCAATTGATGTACCAATAATATAAATGAGGTTTATGAAGTAGTGATGTTATTTGTTTTGTACAAGATTTGTCGCCACAAATTATTTCATCATTTTTTTAGTTTCTGTGTGTCAAATTTTTGAATAGTTTACCGAAGAGGAAGTCGGATCGTTACCATATTATGGTCTAGTGATATAAGCGACCAAGCAATATTAATCGTGAAAAAAGATTACCATGTGACATAGCTGTAGAAAAATGCAGCTAGTGGTAAAAACAAAATACATTTTTGTAACTTCAAATTTAATTGAGCTATTGCCAATTAAAGACGAACAGTTTTGAAATGACCATGTAGGATTAGTATTATATGTGTGCTAATAATAATGGGACAAAAATGTACTAATTCATGTGATTATTAACTGCAAAATTGACAATAGTTAATTGGTTTTTATACAAAATGTTCTTAAATAACAGTCCCCTAATTTGTGATCACTAACTTTACATGTATTTGATACAAAAATAAAATAACTGATTTATTTCCTAGCCTTTTTCTTATTTACACCAATTTACGCTACTCTTTTGTTCATTTGATTTTACCACATGATCATCACGAAAGAAGAAATTTCTAGTTCATGCTATCATGATTCTCATTTTTATTTTCCATGGAAGAGATAAAAAATAATCCAAAAATGCATCCAAACTTAACTTGTGATATTTTTAAAGGTTTATCAGAATTGCTCAATTTTAGTCTTGAATCAACACAAGTAATTTTTTCACTTTACGCATGTTATGGAACTCTAGGTCTAAGTCAAAAATTGCATCACTGTGACACAAGTGTGATCAAAAGAAAAGGCACTTATGAGTGATGAGTCTGAAAGGTACAAAAAGTTTGGTAGAATTTACATTTTTTTTTTATTATCGAAAGCCTTAAAAAAAGATTTTTAAACCTTTATTTTCTTCTTCTTGGGTGTGTCTATATCTGTAATAATGATCTTACTCTTCTTTGATTTAGTAATTTCAACCTGTTCAGCAGATTCCATTTTACTGAAGATTTCATCCATCTCGGTTTCTTCGAAACCGACCTCTTCGATATTGTCATCCGCCACTTCAGGTTCCTCCACCTTTTTGTTGAATTCAAAATCCGCTTTCACAAGGAGCGAACTTAACTTGGACTTCAAATATTCCTGAGGAAAGAGAGTTAAAATTTTTTGTTTTTTTATATTTATGAATCATTACCGATTTGATTAGCTGCCTGGATGTCCCATTGTGCACTCGGAAGTGCCTATCCAAACTAACGCTAAAGACGTGATCGTTGGCACAGACAATTTCTCTGATGCTTCCCTTTGCACCTTTGTAGTGTCCAGCAATTAGTCCTTTGTGCCGGAAGTCCACTTTGTAAAGCTGTCCAGTGCCAGTACCTACCACAGCATGGCTGGGGAAAATATTTTTGTAAATATTAGCATTAAAAGACGAATGCTTTAAATTTTACTTTTCCGAGGGACCGAAAGCAATAGCGGTCAAAGCTTTTTCTGGAAATTCCATGTTGAACACTGGTCTTCGCTGAGCTTTTGGATCATAAATTCTAACCTACTCAACACAGAAGCATGAATAAGTAAAGTAAATAAAATCATTAAATAAGTATTTACATTTCCATGCCTTGTCGATACGATTATTTTCTCACTGAGCGGGATAAATGCAATGTCTGAAATCCAAACTGGCACTTCAAGCTCGAGCCAATTGTGAGCCACCTAAAACTTGGCATCAATAAAGAACATAAAAAGTTAAAACATCTTATTACATTTTTTGCTTTGAAAGTTGATTTCAAACCAGCGCTAATGCTCCAAAGTTTGAGATCGTTTTTTGGTCCACCAGTAGCAATTATGTCTCCGTTAACTCTCAATCTCTCCAAAACACCGCCAGATCCTACTTCACAGCCAGCATCTCCCCAGAGGCGCACAGTGCCAGAAGCGATGCCAGTCACATAGTTGCTAAAAAATAAAGTTCAAAATTATTTTAAGTAATTATATAATTCTCCTTTACGAATTATTAATATACTTGAAGATCTTTCTTACTTGCCACACTTTGCCAGACCAATGATGGGTCCTTCACTGCAGGCTTCATCCACAGTTTTCAGTCGACCTTTGGCAGGCGAGTAGATCTGCACAGTACCATCGGCGTGGCCTGTCAGCACCTGTGACTCCTCAGGATCAGCCCACGCCATTGCAGTGATTTCCTTTTCTTTTGAGAGGACGCGCAAGTCCTTTGGAACATTTTGCACAAGTGATCCTTCGGGACCACTGTATAAGCAAAGCCCTGAAAATTTCCAAAATATTGTTTCAGACGAAGTCATTTGTTTAAAACCACAATTAAAACCTTTGAGTATGCCAGTCTTGGCGCCGACGAACACGTTGAAATCCTCTGGCAGTAGAGGCACTGCCATTTGTGTGTTATAGTTTTCCGGGCTAACTTAAAATTGTCCTCTCAATTCGATAAATCAATTATAGCGATTTTACAATTAAAAGGTTCTTGCAATGAATTAAAACCGCACAAACCTATCGACAATAAGAACCCAACAAGGCAACGCATGCACGTGAGGAATAAAAAATGAAAACTGTTCGAAAACAATAACAATACTTGAACGACACCGTGCGGCTGATTTTGATACTAAAAATCTGATCGGCGGCATCGGCGCACTTTTGAGATGCGAATTGGAAGTGAGAAAAAGAAAACCCGCACTTCCATGCAAAAATTTGTAAACAAGTTGAAAAGGACCATTTCAATTAAAAAAACCTCTATTTTGCGTTTGCCGCGAGACTTCAGAAATCCATGAAAACATAATTCCCAGGTAAGTTTGCGTAAATACATAAAATATTTTAATATTTTCGCTTTTTTAAACTCGTTTACATAGCGCGCTAGCTAGGCGCGTGTTAAGTGACAATTTTACTGTCAAATTTTAATTTTGTTAATGTAAAATAAAATTTTCGTTTTTATAAACATTTCTAATTACAAAATGATTGTTTATGAATTTTCATTTTTTAATTCTGGTGGCATTTTAATATTTTTTGTTATTATATGTTTGAAAACTGCGTCTGTCTTTAATATGATTAAATATTCTGTGTACTAATGTCATGAATGAGTTTAAAGTTTAACCCCATATTATATATTGATTAAATTTTTTTATTGGACATTTTGAGCTAAAAATGACCAAATAACCAGCATATAACCATGAATTATAATTATATAAAATAGATACGCAGTACCAAAATACAAGTACATTATTGAATAGTTATATTAATTTTGTTTTTCCTTAGTTTTAATGGATTGGATCCATTGCAACGCATGCGGCGTCCAGCCCAGCAAGGACAAGAGCCGCAAATTCCAGTTGACCAGTTGTGGCCACATTTTCTGCAACCAATGCGCAGAACAAAACACCAACCCGGCGTGCAAAGTCTGCGGCACCAAGTGCACCATGATTCAACTGACGTCGCAAATGCCGCCAGAAATCCAGCACTACTTTTCCGACCCGGATGAAGTCATCAAGAAGGCTCTGCAGATCATGAGCTTCCAGAAGGGCCACAGACTTCGACTTGCCTCGCTTCGGTCGCAATCAAGTGTGACCCAAGCACAGCTAGCCGAGGAAGGCAAAAACCTGCGTGTCAAACTAGTCCAGCAGGCCAAGCAGATTGCCAAACTTGAGTCTAAACTGGCACAAATGAAACAAATGTTTGTGGTGATGTCCGGCATGCAGAACAGCAAGTCCGTCAAGTTCAACTCTCCGGTGGTCAAGACCCCAACCCTGCTGTCACCAGCACTTTCTGTTAGCTCGTCGATCCGTTCTGGGCAAACAGTCGTGCCGAACAACAACTCTTCTGCAGACCGGCGCTCACCCATGTATGTTTCACCGGAATTTCTGCAAAAAATGGGAGGAATGTCCAAGTCATCACCAGCTTATGCAAAATTGAGCAGTTCCCTTTCTGGTAGGCAAAAAAGCAGTCCAACAGAGAGAATGGCCAGCTACTTGTCCCAATGTACTTCCCACCAATTTAGAAGCAATAATTAAAGTTTAGAAGGAAATAACGCATAGAAAAATGTGACCATAATATGTTGCTTTTGTAATGAGAAATGCACACTGCCTAGCTGTAAATTTGCCTCAAAATGTGAATCTGTTCTTATATAATTTTCCAAAAGTGTAATACTTATAAATAAACTAATCCATTAAAATTAAAATGTACATACTGGCAATTGGTGACAATGACAATCTATGAAAAGAAAAACCGAATTTAAATAATGGTACTTAAATCATTTTTACTGTGCCTTTGTCCATTAAAAAAATGTGTACTTAAAAAATTGTTTTATTTGACATAAACAAACCAAATTCATACCAAGTAATTAATTTTTAATACCATTGGAGCTATTTTTTAATTTTCGTCATATTAAATGCGAGAGGCATGCACATAAGATAAAAATTATTCACGTTTCCTCTTCCCAAAAGGTTGACTCTTTGTCTGGTCATTTTTATCTTTCTTTGGCTCCCACAGTCCACTCCTCACAAATCTCTTTGCAGCACCAGAGTTCAATTTTGGCGCTGCCGCACGATCCTTCAGCTGCTTTGCTCTGTCCAAATGCTGCTTCACACGACCAAGTTCATTTTTCACAGCATGATTTGCAGCATCTCGTCCTTTTGTTTTCAAGTAAACCCAGAATAGTGAGTTGATTGCATAGGTTTTGAACATGTCGATCTGAGCCTTGTCGGCCGCGTCCAACGTTTTGTATTTTTCTTCTGCGACAGGAGAAGTTAGCATAGACAAAAGATCATCCACGGACTGTATTTTTTGGCCTAGGTTCTCAATGTTTTTCTGCAACTCTGGATTGTTTAGCTGGGAGAGACCTTCTCCAGGATTTGACGAGTCTGCCATGGTGAGGCTTTTTCAATTTCTTATGAACTGAAAAACAATAATTATATAGCTTTAATTTTAGTATTAGTTTTCAGTATAAGGACATAATATGATAAAATTTTATGCCAAAAAAAAAATGATGATTTTCTTGACATTTTTTTTTTATAAAATCGTGAGGTTAAAGATTCAGAGCAGGGGAAACCAGCAAAATGAAAATACATATCTAACATAACATATACATATTATAAGAAGAAATAAAAGGATAAGGAATGATTCGTATCACTAAAATCAATATGAATTCGGTGCAAAAATCACCTTTAAACCATAGTTTTCTTTTTCCTTCCTCACGTGCTTTTTGTTGTTGTTTATTGTCTTCTCTTCTAATTTTGTTGGACAACCTGCTCGGCTCCTTTTCCGGATTCTGACACGCCCACATTTAATTGTTTACAGAAATCGGATCGGAATCTGCTGAACTGATCTTAATCGCTTTTCTGTCACAAAAATAACCTTTTAAGCTCCAATTATAGAGGTAAGTGGTTCTGTATTTGGTTGAGAAAATTAGCATTTAAACTGAAAAAGTTTATATAAGTCGGCATAATATGTAACTTATTTTTAGTATGGCAGTTTCTTGATCTCACAAGTCGCACTGCAGTTTCCAGAAATTTCGAGAATGCATTTTTCTAATACATAACCATGCAAGAAATATTTTCAGTTAATTACAGCCTATCTTTATAATTTCAGAAAAATGGTGGACTATAGCAAGTGGAAAGATATTGAAATATCCGACGACGAAGATGACACTCACCCCAATATCGACACACCGTCTCTCTTCAAATGGCGACACGAAGCGAGAGTTCAGAGAATGGAAGAGGAGCGAAGAGAACAGGAACGGCTGGCCAAAGAAAAGGCAGAATTTGAGAAGAAGTTGAAGGTCGCTAAGGAAAACTCCAGTGCCTTTTCTCTGCAGCAGCTAGAGGCTGAACGCAAAAAGATCGAGGAAATGGAGTCCGAACTGAAAAAACAGGAAAAACTTCAGCCGTGGAACGTGGACACCATCAGTGCTGCTGGCTTCAGCAAGACGGTCATCAACAACCCTCCGCCACCTAAAGAGGAGGAACCGCTGACTGAAGAAGAACAGGCAAAGAAACTGAAGGAGTTTACTGTCAAAAACGAGAGCCTGCTAAAAAAATATGGTATGCTTCGACGTTTCGAAGACAGCAAAAAGTTATTGACAGACAACCCTCAGTTGGTTTGCGACGAAACCTCGCACTATCTGCTCATCTGGTGTATAAATCTGGAGATGGAGGAAAAGAGCAGTCTCATGGAACACGTAGCACATCAGTGTATTTGCATGCAGTTTATCCTGGAGCTGGCCAAGCACATGAAAGTCGACCCTAGAGCTTGTGTACCTGCATTTTACAGAAGAATGGAAAGCTGCGAGGCTGAGTATTTAGCCAGCTTCAATGACGAGTTGAACAGCCTGAAGGAGAGGATTCGTGTCCGGGCCAAGCAGAAGCTGCAACTGGCCATCGAGGAAATTGAGAAGGAGGAACGAGAAAAAAGACTTGGCCCCGGAGGACTTGATCCGGTTGAAGTGTTCGAGTCTCTGCCCAAGGAGTTGCAAGATTGTTTTGAAAACAAGGATATTCCGAAACTTCAGCAAATTTTGAGTACCATGCCTGAAGAGGATGCCCGATACCATCTCAAGAGATGCATCGACTCCGGAATGTGGATCCCTGACGGAAGGAAAAGGGAGGAGGAAGCAGGTGCAGTTGGAGGTGAAGAAGCTGCTGCATCAGGAGATGGTCCAGACGTTGATTAAATTAATCGAATAAAGTGTCATTTTCCTTAAAATTAAGATATGCTTCTTTTGCTGCCTAATTTCACAGTTCAAGCTTCTGCATGTTCAGCAGATTTTCGTGTAAAAAAATTCAATTGCTAGATATTTTTTTATGCAAGGATACAAACTATTTAAATTTGATGTTACTTATCTGTTATTTTTTTTCATTCTTAAATTATGGCATACAGAAGGGGGAACTGGATTGATAAATTTAATTAACCATTAATAAAAAATGTCAATATGCAAGTCCTTAAAACAAGTCTTTAATTTTTACCAACAAATGCCAATTAAAAATTATGTGGCTGGTGTAGTGACCATAGGAGTGCCTGGTGAACCAACAACATCTATTATTTCGCCCTTCTCCGTCTTGGTTGGGCTCTGCATAGCTTGTGGTGTCAGAGATGTCAAAATAGAAGTTGCATGTGAAGGAAGTGGAGGATGTTGAAGGGTCTGGAAGAGAGTTGCATTGTTTATATCAAACTACAAAAAGAACTATTCTTACTTTGCCAGGACAAAGGGCCTCGTATTGATGACGTAAAGTTTGCAGTTCGTACACGCAACTGGATAAAGCCGTCCTCAGTTCATGAAGGAGAACCATGTCACTGCGCAATTCATTGAAGTGCGTGCAGATTTCAAGTGTGGGCATCGGGTTCATTTCAATACCGAGTTCCTGCAACATCTGCTCGATAGCTTTGCTCTTTTTCTGTCCGACATTGGACGGCAGTTTCATCCTATGCGATCTTAAAGTCACTCCACTATTCTTAAAATCTGGGAATTTTATGCCAGTGAACTCCAAAGTAGGCTGAGAAATTACAAAATTAGGGATGAATTTTGGAGAAATTTTTAAACCTACCACTGCCTCTGGTTTTGGACGAGCTTGTTGCTGTGGCACTTTCTTCTTTTGAGCCTTTTTATCAAGTTTTCGAGCTTCCGCTTGGTTGTCGGCTGCTGTTATAAGCTTCTGCAAGTCCTGCGTCTTCTTTTCTCGTTCCTTCTTACGGACCTCTATCTTTTTCAACTCTGCTAAAAGCATCTGCTCTTCTTCAATCTGTGAAAATTAAAAATAATTTAGCAAACGTAAGTATTGGTCTACAATCGGCATTATCGGCAGTAAATTACCTCCTCAGGCTTCCTCTCAAAAAGCCTCTTCAACTGCTCCTTTCTACGCTTTTCATGTTCAGCATCAAATGAAAACACTTTAGGCTCATGTGTTGCTGTTGATTTGGCCTATGATTGAAAGTGTTGTAGAATTAAAATATTTTTAAATAAATTCAATACTTTTGTCAGAGTTCCACAAACTTCGTAATATCGAGACTTCATATCCTCTATAGTCCGATTGGGAAACTTTTCTTTGTCCCATCGATCATGAATGACTACAAATCGCAGGTCGAACCGCTGACCGAGGTCAAAAAGAAGGTCGGTTTCCTCTTTAGTCCACCCATCAGATGTCAAGTGCTGTTGATACTCAGCGTCTGTGTATGTTGGAATGGGAACTTTCTAAAATAATTTTTGCGTCAAAATTTTGGAGTTTGTGTAAATTAAGAGCTGGAATCCTTGCCTTATTGAATTGAGCAAAGGGATACTCTTTGCCTTCATCTGCTGCGCGTCGCCAATGGTGGAAAACTGCACCATCAGTCCTAGCAGGGTTGGTGAATGGCATCCACTTCCAAGGTCTCACCCTTCGCATGCCAAGCTTAGCCTTCAGCTGCTTATACCCTGTTCCAACTACAATTTATTCATTTTAATTTTTTATTCAATCCATTTTATTTCAGTGATTATAACCTGTGTCTGAGGGTATGAGAGGAGGCGCATCTTTGTTGTCGGTGTATAGAAGTGCATACAGCTCTCTGTGCATTCCCTCAGGTCTTTTGACGACTTCTCGCAAGGGTTTTTGCTTCTTCTTGGATTTCTCATTGTGGCCGAGTATGGACTCTTTAGTAACACCTTCTTGGGGCCCAGGAGCCTCATTTATGTCCAGAATATCTCTTATGTCAGCCATTTTTACTGATTTTTACCTTCATAAAATATTCAAGTGAGTTATTATTTTTTTGTTATAAAAAATATTTTTATGATACATTTACATAATAAAAAGACACAACAAAATATTCACATAAATATGATATGTATTATATAGCCGGTATGTATGTATTGACTATAAAATGAAAGTTGGGGATTCAGTGTACGCTAATATTGGTAAGAAAGACGTTCTCTTACAAATCAACACGCTAACCTTTTGTTGGAAAATTGAAAATAATGACCATCCGCGCCATGTATCCCTGTTCCTGTTGAGGTTGTTTTTTGTCGCCTAGCTTGGAGGCGGGGCCTCGGAAAGCGCAATGCTACCAACAAAACATGTACTTGCCAAGTGAGCAGTGGCGCGAAAGTGCAGTGCAACATTTGTATCATTCGTGAGTACGCAAAAGCGTTTAATGATAATTAATAGAATTATTAAATTACAAAATGGTTATCTCCGTAATCTTGATTATGCATCACCGAGCTGCCGCTGGATATTTTACAGTGGAAAAGGTTTTGTTATCAATGCAATAATCCGCAATAATCATCACAAGATGTACATTTTTAAATCGCGTAAAATATTAATATATAAGCTGCATAGAGAGCAACAGCTTATTGGTGAAATTTCTTACGCTTTTTGCTTATACATTATCCTCAAATACAAGCAATAATTTATAATTTGTGAACAAAACAAAAGGAATGGTGTAGTAACACACATGTATTATTTGAAACAAAATATATTTATTTTATTATAATGACAAAAATCAAAGCAATTAATTTTCCTTGTATTTCATTTGTATATATATTTCTCGAAATTATCAGTTTCAAGTATATAAATATTCTGATAATTCTGTTAAATAATTAATTTCCAGAATAATTTTGGTATTATTATTAAACCTCATAATTAATTTCAAATTGGATTCAATTAACTAGGCATTCAATTATTTATCATCTTCACTAAGTTAGGGCAGACCTTAGAATGAGCTTGGTATTCCCTGAATGTTGTTCAATCGTGTTTTTAAATCGCAGGGCGAGTAAGAAAAATTCTTTTTGCCATCAAAGATATCCTTTGAATCACCATAATAGAAATTGTTTCCCATGGCCCTGAAGTGATTTTTGATGCATTCTTGTAACATGAAGTACCACTGGGTCATGCGATGTTTCTTTGAATTGTGAAAGCCACGGAGCAAATCAATCATTTTAGGGAGAATCTTACTGTCAGCAGGAATACCAAACTGCAGGTAATACACTAGAGTGTTCCTTTCTGTCTCATCAAGAAGGTTGAAACCAGCCTCATTTATCATTAGAGGTACTTCAGCATCCGACATATTCAGTGAGGGCAAGTCGGGAAGTATGGGCCAATTCTGCTCACACGCCTGACACCTAGTATAATTTAAAGAAAATAACTTAATATTAAATCATAAATTGAACTTTTTCGAATCCGTACTTGCACTTGAAATCAAAGGACTTAAAAATTGCTCTACGCTGTTTCCTATCCAGGTTGCTGGCTGAAGCCAGAAAGCAATCGGTGAGCTCCTCTCCTTTTGAGATAGGTCTGCGCGCTCGATATACTAAAGTGCTCCCGTACCCCACTTGGATCATATTGGCATCACACGAGTGGCGCACAAGGGTGCTGGATAGGTACATTCCTGTACCAACCACAACTCTTGGAAGACCAAGCTTGCTATAATCAGTCTTGAAGTAGTAGATGGACTTTTGGTTCAGTCGCACAATCAGTATGATTTTCAATAAAAGGGAAGCCACTGGAATTCTTTCATCTTCAGGAATCCTGTGCAAGCCAGCCAATAGTAACGCCATCTGTTACATATAAACAATTTTTATTAATAATAATATAGATTCAAAAATTTTTAAATTACCCCAGAAAAGCATTTTTTCTCTTCCATAGTCAATTTTTCAAAGTTATCCTTCAGCGAAAGAATGCTCTCCAAGTTTATGATTTCTAATTTGCCATTAATAAACCCTTTGGTGCGTCCATCCGAGAGACATTCTACAGGGTCATTGTCTTGCAGGACAGCATTTTTTATGTTCTCAATTCCAAGGAATCCAACCATTCGCTGCAGGTCGCAGTTGAAATTCAATCTTCCTGGTTCAATAGTGGTACGACCCAGGTTTAAGGAGTCAAAGGCATTGTTCATGCTACCATATTCGTAACAACATCTGATGAAGAAGCAAGCATAATCATGGCCAGAGCTCCAATCAGAGTCTCGACACTCTTGGTCACAGTACATCACCTTTAAATGATCTCATTATTTGAAAAAAAATAAAACAAGGAAAATTATTTACGTAGCCACACTTGATGCATGGAATAAGAGTCAAGCATGATTTGAAGCATTTGCTGCAAAAATCCCAGCGAACTTCTTTAGCGGTAGAAGCAACAAAACACTTGTCGACAACCAGAACATCACCTGTTGTTATTTTAATTATTTTTTTTTTAATCATTTAATTTTTTTTTACCAATTTTTATGTCTCGATTTGCCACAAGGTGCCTTCCAAGGTCTTCATTGTATTCCAAATTCACAGCTTTGGAAAAACTTGGCACTTCAGAGTTAGCTCCATAGCTCAAAGTTGGTAGAGTCCATATGTGGGCTTCGGGCAGTTTGGTGCTAAAGGTTGATGGCTCGGAAGCTTTTTCAAAATCTTCCTTCGCTGCCTTAATCAACTGCTTGCTTATTGACTCAGGGTTGAATTTTTCTATGACCTATAAACCAATTTAATTTAAAAATTAAAATTAATCATTTGGCTTTTAAGTTAGGCTTATATAATTATATAGACATACATTGAAAGCTTCACGCAAAGAATTTGTGTGATCTTGTCCCAGGTATTTGAGGCATCTCACTTTCCTGATATACAATTTAGCCTTCAGCTGGTTGGGATAGTCGAGAGACAAGGCTCGATCAATATCTTTCAGACATTCCTTGAAAAGCTTCATCTCAAAAAGAGCAGCAGACCTAAAATAAAATTTTATTATATTAAAAAAGCAAAAATAAATTTGAAAAATTTATTGCCTGTTTCCATATGCCGTAGCAGCAATAGGCCCATCAATTGCAGCAGCTAAGCATTCAGTGTAAAGGAGTCGAGCCTTTTCAAATTCACCTCTCTTGTAACAGGAATTTCCTTTTGCTTTTATTTTCACACCCTCAGCATAGCCTCTTTCTTTAACCAGGGCTGGATTGTAGCCCGCATCACTGTCAATCATAGTCTTGATCATTAGATCGATCTTCTTCTTATCTTGCCGGTAAAAGGCTTCAACTGTAGCAAGGTGTTTTTCCAAGACAGATTTCATGTTGCGACTCTGTTAACGTTTGGGGAAAAAATTATTTTCAGTTGATATGTTGATTAAAAAAAAGATTTAAAAATTTATCAGATTATTTATGTAAAAAACAACGTATGAACACATTTATGCAAGATTTTTAAATGAATGAACTGACAGACCAATCAACCAATATTATGCATAGCATAAATAATGTAAAAAATCTCTATTTTTGTTTTATATTTAAATGAGAGTTACGGCCGGAGATACGTGAAATTTTAAATGTGTGTCTGTGCACATGCACGTCATGTAAATTTGTGCATTATTTACATTGAAAGATTAAATAATTCATAGAGTATTCATACCATCTCGTGTATGTATTCGCATTCGCCCCGTGCAGCGACGATTATAATTTATACCTAAAAAAGGCAGTTTTCTCAATTTTTCCTCAACAGAATCCCCTCATCTATAGTGTTTTCTCTGTCAGATGGAAAAAAATGCATACCAACGCGCAGACCTTGAGGATGGACAACAATTCATGCGGTGATGAATGAGAAAATAATAATGAAATATGAAATGAAAAAGTAGCTGCGGCGGAACTGCGCGGCCTGCGCTGTGCAGTGCCAGTGTGTGCGGCTATAGCGCTCATACACGAGACGAGAAGTTGCGCGCAAGACAGAACAGAATTGTACAACTCTGGACTAAATAAGTATGTAACATGTACATTTTATCAAATGAGAAGTTAGTGGATCCCAATGACCGTGTGGAATTGTGGACTTACTTAGAGTTGTAGAGTGGAACACATACATTCCTCCCACAGATATCTCCTTCACTTGACAGTGACAAGGACAAAGTATTGGGCGCGCCCAATCGTCACCAACCAACCCTCCATAAATAATACCGAATACGGAATGTGTCGATATTCAAATAAAATAAAATTAAAATTCGTACAGTTGTTTGAACATGATAAATTCCATATTGCGTAAATGAACATTCCAAAGATTCTTATTGTTTGTTAATACTATTTAAACTTCCACTTTTCTTTTCTTTTGCTCCAGACCTTTATTAATAAAAATGAAATGTGAAAATTACTAGATGATTGAATAAGAAGGGGAAACAGAAAACATCGATATTTACTTAAATTTTCTTCCTCCTATCCCAAATACACAACAATAAAAATAAAATATATTGATATCTCTGGTTGGAACTTCAATATAAAATTCCTCTTATAATTCATTATGGATTTTGATTAGGAATTAGGACAGAATTATATTAATAGACCCTTTTTAAATATCCTAATTTTTGAAATCAATTAAAAGATTGAGAATAGGGTAAATTAATTACACTTCTACCGCTGCATGCCGCACGTGAAGTTAAGAAAATAGTAAGTTATTGTGGATATAGTTATGAGCGCTTTATTTATTTCTTGAATTTTAATATACAAAATATTAACTTTCAAAATAAATGTTCACTTTTATTACAATGGAACAAAAATTATTTTTGCTGGTCACTTTTTTCTCACAGGGAGAAAATACATGTCTCTATATGATTTTTTTAATTAATTCCAGAAAATTTAAGCTGCAGCAAAATTTAATAATATAAAAATTATGAAATAATTATAACGGTTTTCAGATGCAAAAAGTTATCAAAACAAATTATTACATCATAGAACAGTTAATTCTATAGTGATTCATGGAAGCAGGTTTATCAATTTCATGTCGTTACCGTTGCGGAAAATTGTCCTATCTTGGGTGGGGCCCCACCCAACTATTGTTGTTTCTTATGGGAACGTGGTGGGGGACAATTTTCCGCGACAGTTAAGATGTGGTGATTGGATTTTGGGATGAATTAGAACGAGCTCGGTGCTTGCTGGATATTGCCACAGGTCTTTTTCAATTGTTCTTCGTTGTACACAAACTTTTTCTTTCCTTCAAAAATGTCCTTTGAATCACCATAGAAGAAGTTGTTGCCCTTGGCACGGAAGTGATTCTTGATGCTCTCTTGCATCATGAAGTACCACTTGGTCATGCGCTTGCTATTGCTCTCATGGAAACCCTTCAATAAAGCCATCAATTTGGGAAGCAGCAGACAATCAGAAGCAATGCCAAATTGCAAGAAGTAGACGAGCTTCTTTATCTCCACCTTGTTTGAAAAGTTGATTCCTGCTTGCCTCATTAGGAGAATTTCAACAGCATCCATTTTTGGCCCAGGCAGCATACTTAAAACTGGCCAATTCTGCACACACGCTTCGCAGCTAGAAAAAAAACGTAAAAGACATTAGCAAAAAATTCCAACACTTATTAGAAAAAAATCGTACTTGCACACAAAATTAGCTACGCGAAGCATCATTTGTCGTTGGGGCAATTCAAAGTTAGAGGCTGAAGTAAGGAAGCAGTCGGTCAACTGCTCGCCCTTAGCAATGGGTCTACGAGCTCGATAGACAAAAGAGCTGCCATATCCAATTTGAATCATGTTGGCATCGCAAGCGTGCCGGATGATGTTGCTTGGCAAGTGCAATCCTGACCCAACCACGACTCTGGGAAGTCCAACCTTGGTGTAATCAGTCTTAAAATAGTAGATTGGTTTGAAATTGCATTTAAGAATCAAGAAGAGCTTGAAGAAGAGTGCAGAAACGGAGAACATCTCTTCATCTGGAATCTTGTGCAAGCCAGCCAAGTTAAGTGCAGCCTGCAATTAACAAAATATATTTTAAATTTCGGAAATGAAAACAATTTTTGTTTTTGTATATTACAGTAGCAAAGGATCTCTTTTCCTGAGAGTCAATTTTGTCCAAGTTGTCCTTCATTGAGAGAATACTTTCCAAATTTAGGGTTTCCAATTTCCCATCCACAAATCCTTCAGTGCGCTTGTCAGAGAAAGATACGAGAGCCTTATCTTCCTTGACAGCATTTCTGATATTCTCAAGTCCGAGGAATCCAATCAATTTCTGCAAATTGCAGTTGAAAATCTTGCCCGATCCTATTTCAACGGTCGTCCTGCCCAGGTCCAAGGAGTCAAAAGCATTGTTCATGCTACCATAGTCATAGCAGCATTTTGTGAAATAGCATGCATATTCATGACCAGAGCTCCAGTCAACGTCTCGGCACTCTTCCCCGCAGTACATCACCTGTTGAGTTAGAAAAAATTTAATTTACGAACCGGTCACAAAAAATATCAAAAAATACTAACACATCCACACTTTGAGCAAGGAACCAGAGCCATGCTCGACCTGAAGCATCGGCTGCAGAAGTCCCAACGAACTTCACCAGCAAGAGAGGCCACCACACATTTGTCAACAACCAAAACGTCCCCTGAAACATAGAATAATAAATCAATTTAAATAATTAAATGTAAAAGTTGTAAATTTTATGTCAGTTACCAGTTTGAATGGCCTGGTTGGCAACAAGGTGTCTTCCAATGTCTTTGTTGTACTGAAGACTAACTGCGTTGGAGAAACTCGGCACTTCAGAATTAACTCCATAACTCAAATCAGGCAGTGCCCACAAGTGGGGTTCAGGCAATTTATTTTCATAGCTGGGTTCATCCTTATCAACTTCCGGCTTAGCTGCCTCAACAAGTTGTTTCTTCATTTCCAGAGGAAAGTCAGAATTCTCAATGACCTTTTAAAATTAAACCAAATAGTATGAATGTAAATTAAAACAAAGCTCTCAATAAAATACATACTTGGATTGCTTCTTGCAAAGCTGGCTCATGATCTTGGCCCAGGTATTTAAGGCACCTGGCTTTTCTGAGAAATAATTTCCATCTCAAATTTTCAGGGAAGCCACTGCGTAAGGCTCGATCAATATCTTTCATGCAGTCTTTGTACAGCTTCATATGAAATAAAGCTGCAGATCTAATAAAAAGTTAAAATTTTATTGTAACAGAAGCCATGTTAAATTAAACTGAAGTAAAATAAATAATATACCTGTTTCCATAAGACTGTGCGGCCAAAGGTCCGTCAATTACAGAAGCAAGGCATTGAGTGTAGAAGTGTCTAGCTTTGTCGTATTCTCCTCGTTCAAAAAAGTAATTTCCACTTATCTTCATTTTCAAACCCTCAGCATTGCCGAATTCTTTTGCCAGCGAGGGATTGTACTCCAAATCATTTTGCCTCATGGTTTGGTTCAATTGGTCAATTTTGACCTTGTCTAGCCTGTAAGAAGCTTTCACAACAGCAAGGTGCTTTGCCAAAATAGACATCACATTAGTTGAAGCCTGGAAAAGTGGAAAAGGAATACAAATTTTGTTAAATTTTAAAATTTAACTTTCCAAAAGCTATAATATTTTGTAAACAGTAATAAAATAATAAACTCAAATGCTCACAATCAGCAGCAAAAGAATCTCAATATTATAACACACCGGCCGTTAAGAAAAAATAAATTTGAAGGAAAATCAATTGAAGCAAAAATTAAATTAAATGAAAATGTTTTTCTTACCATCTTTGTTAGCGAATCTGTATTTGATTACAGATACGTAATTGCTAAGCAATGCACCACCACACCACACCACGTGCTTTTTCTCAATGTTCGATTCCTAGCACAGAAAAAGTATCAGCCTGCTGTAAATGCAAAATAATTGTTTCAGAAAGTGAAGTCCATAGATGTTATCCATATAAAATACGCTTCCTTATTATTTTTGACAAGAAAAAATAACAAATCTATGATCTATAAAATGTTGTATAGCTCAAAATCGATCAAATTATAAATGAAAATTCTCACCTTTTTTGGAGGCAGATATTTTGAAACGTTTTGTGAAATTCTAAGCTCAATCGCTAAAAGTTTCGTTTGCTGTTATGCGGCGTTTCATTCAGATTATATTTCAAACGCTCTGGATGAGAATGATGATCTCATGCAGAGGTGAAATAATGGGATTTTTCACCAAGAAAAAGAACAGACAACAAACCAACAGCAGCTAAAAAGTTCCTCTCCTCCAGGAGCGTTTCGCGTTTCTGTAATTTCTGTTTTCTGTTTCACCACCTCACCCTCACCAACAAGTTGTTGTGACTCACGTTTCACGTTGGGACAGCGGTGGGGCTTGTTTTGAACTGCGCTGAGCGCTCACATTGGCTGACAATTCTCACAAACAAGAAAAAATTTAACAGCGCATGAGTGCAGCTACTGCAAACTGCAGCTCTTGCAGAATGTAGAGCTTTCTGCATGTTTGACTACCTTTTTTTCAGTCTTTTCTCTTGGAATGCGTAACAAGAGTAATGATAATTAAATAAAATAATAATAAACTTCATTTTATAAATGTACTACCTACTTTTTGAGCGTGAACAAGCCTTGATTTATGAACACTATTTAATTATATTTTTCTGATCTTATTATGATTATGGATATGAATGGATTATGGATATTATTGTCAATGGAACAAGCGCGCGACTTTGTGCTGGAGTGCAAATGCAAAAGGACACAGCGGTCACAGGCCAAAGCGATAATCTTAATTTTACGAGTTCTCATTAAAATAATATTTAAATTTAAATGTCAATAAATGGCTTATATTGCTAAAACATTTATAGTAATATTAAATTTTGAACAAATTTTAATGAGAAATCAGTGTTTGAATAATTAAGGAAATGAATTTAACGTTTACTTTTGCCCAGGGAAGTATAATTAATCTTGAAAGTAAACATTATTAAATTGAGGTTTGACAAAATTATTTTGCGATAGGATATAGATGGAGATATACTTCATAATTCCTCTTAATTATAGATAATGAACTGAGTGTAAGATGGAAAATAATTAAGTAATTATACAAAGTAAACTTCACTTAAACTCATAAGGAACAAAATATTTAGATAAATGCAAAGAAATTTTTGCATTTATTAATGAAAGCTTAGTCATTTAATTATATAGACAATTTTGAATTTAGTAAATTTAATAATTAAATCCAAAAAACATCACTTTTTGAAACTGAATCTGATAAAGTCAACTTCAATGTCAACGGACTGCTTTTTGTGGAATCGGTAAGTGGCTGGCAGGTCATACCTGAGTTCAGCCACCACTTGGGCTTCAACGCCCCACTGCTTTGCCTTGCTGAGGACGTGTTGTCTGGTGGAAGTCTTGTGCAGCGAGTACACTGCTCCGGTGGCCATCCGCAGACCCTCCTGCAGAAAGGTCAGGTCGGCACCCTTGTTCTTCTTGGTGCCAAAGGGTGGGTTCATCAACACTGTGTCCACTCGCTTTTCCCATCTGAATCCCAGGCCTGCCTCAACATCGTCCTGGATGACCTCGACCTCCACTTCGGTCTCCTCGAGGTTCTGCTTTGCAATGGAAATCGCATCTGGGTCGATTTCAAATCCAAAGCAGACCCCAGCACCCTGAAGGACAGCCCCAATGGCCAGGGCGCCGCAACCCATGCCAAGGTCAGCCACCACTTTTCCTTCGAGGTCACCAAAGGACTCTTCAGCAGTGTGGAGCATGCAAGCGGCCACATGGGGCGAGGTCACATACTGCTCAAGAAGCACCTTTGGTCGCTCAAAGCCGTCCAGTTGCTGCAGCAGTTCTTCAAGTTTTCGGAGTTTCATTTTGAGTCAAATCTGGGTAGCACAGGCAAGATGTAGTTTCCGAATGACGACTCTTGAGTAACGAAAAAGCCGAACGACTGAGAGTGGGCCAACTGAAGCTGGATGTTGCGCTGATTTGCGTCGTGGCCCTGCAAGAAATGGAGAATAATTTTTTTTCAAACATTATTTGCTTTATTTAATTAAGCGTCAAATTATAGAAATTTTCTTTTCAAATTAAATTATAATTGATTACTTGGTTTATGTAGTCGAGCTTAAAATAAAATTGGAATTAACAATTACAAAAAGATGAAGATGTAGCATAAAAATTTCTTGATAATAATATAATATTCAGAGTGGCTTTTTATTATTTAATTATATTAAAGTGATAACAAAATTCAGAAGATTTAATGAATTATGAATATTATTTTAAGTTAATACGTACAGCCGTGGTGTTGTTGGAATTATTGCTGAGCGATGCAGCTCCTTGCTTCAGAAGTAGTTGCTTTTTCTGCTGATGCAAATCTTCCAAAATTTTCTTATTTTGGAGTTCTGAAATTAAATTAAACATTATGTACAAGGTATTTAAAAAATATTGGTGTCCCAATTCCTTGTAGTTTAACTTATTTTTTAAATTTTAATTATGCATACATACCTTGGCGAATATTGGGAGTCACTTGTGGAGTTTGAGGTTGAAATGCCATAATAACGTGAGAATCTGGTCAAAAGTTTGGTACCTTCAATCGCAGGACAAAATTTAGTTTCAAAATCACTTTGCAAAAATCATGGCATTTGGCATGTATACACGTTTGTTTTGTTATTTTTCAGATACGTGACGTGCTGCCCCCTGTGGACTGCTGTAAGATTGATTGAATTTCAAATTAGCGCGCCAGCAGAACATGTCTGATCTCTCTCACTATCAAAGATTAAATATTAACATTATTATTTAGGTGAGAAAAATTATTCAAATTTTTTAAGTCAACTATTTATTCCGATTTATTCCACGGTGAAATAATGAGGTCCAGAATTAAAATACCTGATGCTCTATCTTTATAAATGCGCATAAATAAATTTCAAAATCCTCAGTAATAATAATAAAAAAATGCTGAATACTTACAATGAATCAAAAATTGCAACATAAAATTTTAGAGTAAAATGAATGAAAAATAATTTTGCGTGAATAAGTTCATTACGAAAATGAATAATCAAGGCCAGCTTATTTTCACTCGAGTTTTTTTAACAGGTGCTTCAGTTTCCAGATCCTCTTCTTTAGCAGCACCTTTCTCAAAATTGTTATCGTTCTTAGGAGGAGATCCACTTAAATTCTGTGAAGAAGATACACTTAAAATTAGAGGATATTACGATAAATTCATACCACTGATAAAATTTACCCTTTTAAGTGATTTTTGTTCATTCAATTTTTGCTCTTCTTTTCCTTTCCTGTTGGGTTCGGGAGGTTTATTTGAATTATCGGATTTGATTAATTTGATTGTTTTCTTTTCGTAGTTGATGCAGTCACTAAGCCGCTTATTTGTAGGATTCGGATCTCTGAAACACAACATTAAAAACAATATTTTACCAATGCTGAAACAATTTTAATTTAATGTGTAAACATAACTTTTAAACATTTTAAAAATTTTTTAAATTAGAAATCTAAGAGAAGAAATATTAAATAATCAGTTAATTGAAAAATATATAATTTAATATAAAAGCAGAAAAAATTTCAAAAAATTAAATTATTGTTTGTTTTGGTGTCATAAATTCTATTTACAAATTTATACCTTTTAACAGAAACACCTGAAGACGAGGCACGACTTATAGTGTCTAACGTAAATTTGCGTCTCGCTGTCTTTCGAAAACAGTCTCTTTGAGGAAACGGGACGGCGACCCTCTGCATGACAGCGACCAACTCTTCCTTGGTCATAGAGTGCAAGTTGCTCAACTTGATGCACCGCTGGGACACGAATTTTCAATGAAAATCAGTCCGACTTCGGTCTGACCGGAAAGAAGAAGGACTCACGTCTCTCAGGACTGTCTTGATATCCTCGACAGTCATCAGCTCAGGGTGCAGGAGCTGCGGAACCTTGAAGGTGGGTGCCTGTCTTTCATCCTCGTGGGCTGCCATCGCTGTTGTTGTCCCACGTGACTCTTCGGGCCGAGAAGCGCGGCAAAGGTAGAGTTCATTTAAAAGTTTCTCTCTTCATTCTCCCGCATCTGTATCTGCAAAAGCGCAAAAATTTTATGTAAATTTGAAGCGAAAGCAAGATTTTATCCTTGCATGAATATACAGAAAAAGATAATTTTTTTCTGCTAAGAAATTTTGTGTGGTTTAAAAAAAAAGAAAATTTTTAATTAATCTTAATCTTAAATATTAGGTTTATTATCGGTTATGCAACCCCATGAACACACATGTCGGGCCAGTTGCCTAGCCTGCAAGTGAAATTTTTATTTTTTTCTTATTTTTGACGTAAGAGAGCATCAATAATTTATTTTCCAGCGATTTGATACATTTTATTATTGATTCTCTAATTTTTATATATTAAATTGTGCAAATTGTATACTACATCCTAACAATAAAAAAAGCGAAATCTTGCATCAATTTGAAACTTTCAATTCCAAATAATAATTAATTTGGAATTAAATTTTTATTTTCTTTAGTTACTGTTTTTGTTACAATTATTGTCATATGATTCTCAATATATTGTATATTTATGATTGATGGATGAATATAAACTTTAAATTTAATTTTTGCCACGTTTTGACTTGCACTATAGAATGGAGAAAATACACAAGCACCGCCGTAGCATCTAGAAACTAATAAATCAGGATTTGCTTTGGTGGTCTCAGGCAGAGCAAGCTGCATGACCGCGAGCATTATGTTTTTGATTTAGATAGTAATTAAATCAATTTCATTCTTCATGATGTAACGTGCAAGATAATATTTATGAGGATCGAGAAATCCATCTTATTTAAATTGTATGCTGTATGCTATATAGCTGATTTTTTATTCCTTAAAAATGCAAAATGAAATCCATCCAGTGCTAAAAATCATATGAAAATTCAAATATAAGAAGAAAAATCATAAACTACCAAAATAGAATAAATAAACAATTTTCGCAATGAATGTATTTCACAAATAATGTCCATCAAGTAACAATGAAAGCGTAATTATTTTTAATAAATATATGAAAAATATAATATTAAATTTGCAAATTTATGAACTTAACCCAAATAATTGGTCTACATATTTAGTTTCATCAGTCCTGTTCTTGTTAATGTTAACCAATATGACCAATATGTTAACTTTATAGAGTCAGATCGCAACCGCACATCAAAGCTTGTATCTCCTACGTGGAAACGTCACAAAAAATACCTGAGTAGAATTGTGAGAAAACGGAGTCTTTAATCATCACATTTAAAAATGAAACCTGAATAAAACCTTTGAATGTATGGAATATCACAAGCATTTTGTTGAAAGAGCCAACTCCAAAGAAATTAAATATATCGCCGTCAGTCTCTTTGTTCGCGTTCAAAGAAAATGAGCACCACCGCATATAAACAGTCGGATATGAAACACATTTCGTTATTATTTTCCCGTCATTTTGTTTACACGGTGCATGTAAATGAGAAATTATTTCGTGCTCGGAACAACATTAAAAATCATGACGAAGCCGCTCCGTGCTGGTGCGTGGAATCAGAAATTCAAAAAGAATGGTGTGTGTGTATATAAAAATCTGCTCCATCACGGGCTATTTACATTTCGTTACACATAGAGAGGAAGAAATTGAATTAATCTCGCTCGTGTGTGCCGGAGATTAAAAAAGTGATTATCTGGCGGGGCAGAGGCGTGCATGCCAGTTCTTAATATATTCATAAAAATATGATCATGATACCAAGACTCGCACACATACACTCTCAAAATTACTATTTATCACGGGTTGGAAAAAAGGAGAGAAGAGTTTTTCAGCGATTTTCGAGCTCTCCGCCCCTCGGAGCGCAGCATCTCTCATCCATCCGAGGCTTTATGTTTCTCTTTGATACTAAAAAGCCATCAACTCGCTGGAGGCCGTGAGTTGGTTATTTTTTGTGGTACATCATCTAACGTCGGACTGTGTATAATTGGCTGGTAGAGAGCCTAATATTACGGCAGTAAATCAAACTCCTTGGGGGGCCCATCCGAAAGCCGCGCTCCTCGTGGCCATTCCTGCTGCGAGCCGCCGCCGCGTGTTGCTAGCCGCAGAGTTGTATTTTCTTAATTCGATTCAGCCATCCTTCCACCTATAATATGGCCGGATAATAACGCTGCCGCTGCGCTCCATCTTTGAAAATTATTATATATAGGTGGGCTCACTTGATTATTATTCTGCTGTGCGCCGGGGAATTAACTATCCTGTCGCTGCGCTAGCTCTTAATCGTCTTTTTCCACCCAAGCATACCTGCAGCTTTTCGCCGGCCGTGCCCTTGGCTTTGAAAAGTTAATAAATAATTTTGGGTGTCGCTTACGTGATCGCTTCATGCCCTCTTGTGTACCGTTCGTCGTTAATTAACTTGCAAAACAACAACAGCGCTCGGCTTAATTTGTTTTTAAAGCATATTTCCACCTTACTAAATAATTTTGTTTTGTTCATTTTGCACTTGGATTGTGATTTTCATTTTTTTTTATTTTTGTTAAATGAACAATTTATTGATATTTTTTACCATATAATTCCCATGATCATATAACAACGTATTCTAGAATATTTGATTATTATTAATTATGCTAATTACGGAAATTAAGATTGCGAGACGGTAAGATTACTCTACACTATGTAGAACAGCAAAACACACGTAAAATAACAACAATTTTTCTGTTTTAGTAAGAAAAAAAACCCAGAGATTTTTATTTAAAAGAAGAAAAAGCCAGATAGTTAAATAATTAATTTTATCGTTTATGAATTCTATTGTTTTATCATAATTTGTAGACAATTAAAACTCAAGCAAATCATTAAGTAAACAATGTAGAATTTCAATGTTTTAAATTCATGTTAGCTTTGTCAGTTTATTTAAAGATCTATATCCATTTTCAAAATTCTCATCTTGTTGCTAAAAATCCTTAAAATTACGCATTCAATTATTTTTAGCGCCCGAGCATACTTCGCACAGTTTATATGCCTGCGAACGATGAGAACAGACAAATCCATTAAGTTATTCTTGAAACAAGTCTGCACCGCGAAATGTAAACGTCCATACCCACATATATTATCTAACAGGAGGTACCCAACACAAGCCGCGCGGTCGATTCAAAACTATATAATATGTATATAGCGTGCCTCGTAATATAAAAGATGTGCTGAAATCATGTTCAGCCTCAGCACATTCTTTATGCCGGTGCGCGCGCGCAATCTCGGAACATAATTAAATAAATAAAGCATGTGCCTTGTTCGAATCAAAAGCATTACGTGGAAGAAAAATCGCCGCCATCTTCAATATCTTTTGATGATAATATTTCCGAGAAGCGAGGACGCGCCGCGAAATAAAGGCTCCGTGTGTTTGTGCTGCTTTTTGCGATGCTAATCTCAAGCGGCGCGCACTCGACGTGCAGATCCAATCAAAGCAGTCTGATTGCGAAACTGATTAAACACCGCGTGGTAGATGCAAGAGGCTGTAAAGGGAGGCGTAATTGGCATCGGATTATTCATCATTGGCATTATAATTGAGCTTCTCAAAAGGAATAAAAGGATCTGCTGATTTTCAATTGAGATTTAATTAAAATGTTTATGCTAACTAGCTATAGTGCAAAAATTTGACATTTTTTAATATTTTCATTATGATGATATTTTGATGAAATTTTTTTTATCAAAACTTTTTGTTCAAAACGCATAATTTTTTTATGAAATTTTAAAATAATATGCCGATGCATGACTCCGCTTTTTTTGTACAATGTACTTTTTTTGCGTTGTATGTACCATGAATGGAGAGTAAATAAATAAATAAATAAATATGTATAAATATAATTAAAAATATTTCAAATGTGTATCAAAATTTAATATCAATGTAGTATAATTTTTTAAATTTTGTTAGGTGTACACAAAATTATAATTTGGAAGTTCGTGAAGAAGTTTTTTTATGAATATGTTCTGAAAGGAATGGCGCTTTTGTTAGACGCACTTGGTCTGGCCAAGAAAACGAACGAACAAACGAGCAGAGAGAAAAGAAAACCACACCCTCGATATATTATGCAGGTAATACATTTATAATAAAATCATGACATCAAGTTTAAGCTTGTTGTGTTGTACTCATATTTCTCTGACAGCTTCACGGGCCCCGGACCCACCTTTTTACATAAAATCCTCTCAAGAGACTGTGTGTGTTTAAAATGATAAATATTGTTTTTAGCCGCGGTGGTGAGCAGACGGTGGAAAAGGAAATAATAAGAACGCCGAGACTTTTCTTGTTTTCTTGTCTCTGCCGGGCACACACAAGAGAGAGAAGCTTCATTAATTTCTTTCCTGTTGGCCCTTCAGGACTTGAAGAGGGTTTCGAAAGGAATAAATTTAATGCACTCTAGGCCTTGTCTCGTCGACGACAAAAATGTTTTATGAGCTGCTTTTCGTTAAATGGAGGCCGGAGTGAAAAAGTCAAAGTCGAGAGACGTTGCGCTGGCAGCGTGTCGAAGGAGTAATGTCATGTTGTTCGGCCAGTAATCAACTTTAATCACTTAATGCAGACTCTCGTTAGAACTTGAATTACAGTGTTTCATCGAGAGAGCCTCTCTTTGTCAGCAGGCAGGAAATTGTACACACGATTTTCCGTCATGCACTCTGGCCTCGTGGAATGTGAATAGGAATATAATTTTATGTCTTACTTTCCCCCCCAAATTATTCATTTGTTTTATAAAAAAAATTATTATATTATCACCAACATCTTGAAGGTTAAGATTCTCTTTAAATTAATTTCTTTCCAAGTTTTCATATTAAACTAAAAAGTTTTAAAAATAGTGAGTATGCAACCTGCATGACTTGTATGCGTTGCGTGATGCAATTTTTCCTTGTACAGATTTCAAAATTTAAAGCATTTTTATTGTTGATCGTGAATACAATTGATGAGCGTTCCCAGCATAAAATTAGATTTCTGATAATCTCTACGATCTAATTGTTAAAAGAATCAAGGAAAAAGTACACATTCATCAAAACGTTCCACTTCTCATTCAAACCTAATTAGGGCCCAGAGCAATTTGAATCTAATTAAGTTTACAAAATAAATTTCCATGGCGTGTGTATCTATTTTCTTGAAAATTCCATGCCTGCGTGCGTGGACGGGCCTTGAAGGCACATTCGCTTGTCACCTGTTGGTTAGATTAATTTATTTCTCCGGCTAACGACTTACAAATTAGTTTCAAATTTCTTTTTTCCCGAGCTTGACCGAATGAACGACCGGTCATCCAAAGTCAAGGTCCCAAGTAAGCTTTTGAAAATAACGCCTAGAAATATCTGTGACGCGTCGAGCCATTAATAACGCGATGGAAGCATGATTAAATCATAATGGTAACGGAAACTTTAATGCGTGAACATGCGACTTAATGGAGCTCGGAATGCGTCTTTCCATCCAGTTCACGCACTCACGAGATTATGATGGTTCTCTCGAGAGAATGGATCTCCGATTATTTATTTTGCTTTATTGGTCTCAAGACATAAATTATATATAGCCGTCGAGCGGGCTCCTTGATTATACGCTTCGAAATTCTGGCTTGTCGTTTGATAAATCTATAGAGTGATAAATAATTTCCATGACAGTCCAAGTTTTTGGCCCACAAGGTGAACTCAAAAACAACTTTTACAGTTCATCCACATAACTGATTCAATATTATTGCAAAAATCTCCAGCTCCTTTTACGCAAATAAATAACATAATTTCCATTGATACGAAATTCTGATATCAAAAACGACGACAACTCTGATGCACGTATAATGCAGTGATAAATCGCGAAGCTCTCTCTGGGAGCTTGAGCGAGAGAATGTCTAGGCGGGCGAGAGTGTTGTATGGCAATTTACAAGGGACGTCGCCCTGATTTGTGGAGCTAACAGCTCCTTAGGGTTGGGATGCGCCTTGCTTGGCAGCCAAACAACTTTCAGGGGCTTGTAATCGAGCTGAAAACACGGCCCGGAATATCGTAAAATAAATCCTGACCGAGAGACAGCGCAACACAACCGCATCAAAATTGATGGTTTCCAGTACACGCAGATAAATTGTCCGTTTGCATCGTGAACATTTTTGATCGCGCTGATCTCGGAAAACGAGAGACACCCGACTGACAGAGAGAATGAGAAATTTATGGAGAAAACGGGACTGGTACAAAAGTTTTTATTTATTGCAGAAAGGCATAGAGTTTCCAGTGTTATTTGTTTTATACACGGTGAAATGTCAAAGATCAATTTTGAAAAGATCGTGAAATGCAGATTATAATTAACATAATAAATGCAACTAATTTATACAAATAATGTACCTTATTTGATTTATCTCAAAAAATGATCTAATTCTGTTATTTTTTTTAGACAAAACTTTATAGGAATCTTTGCCAAAACATAAAGTTTATTTGAACAACAATTATCTAATTTTTGAACCTCAATGAATCTCAAATTCATTTTAAGTTGAAATGTGAAAAAAAAAGTCATTTAGGTGTAGACTCAAGAATAGATAGGATTGTTTTTTTTTCAATTCAAAGAGCAGTTCTTTTGAAAGCTATTTTTCAGAGAGATGTTCAATTCTCCCGTTCAATTCATTAATAATTTCTATTCAACATATAAATTCAATCCAAAAAGGCTTAAAACTAAAGAATTAATTAAGAAACTGGCCTGGCTTAAAAATGAGCTAATTGTTTGTTTCTTTTGATCAGCAAATCAGAAAGATTTTAAAAGCAAGAAATTTTATTAAAGCTACCTAATTTTTTTTCCATCCCTTCAGGGTTTTTAATCTTAATGCATTATGCTCAGTGGTGTATCTCTTTAAACTTTTTTGTGTTCGGTGGCCCATGAGAGTTGATAAATCTCGAATGCATGCGACCCGCGTAATGACTTTTGGCTCCTCATTCATCTCACCTGCCGCAAAGGTGCGCGCTTCAATTGAACACAATTGCTCTGGAAAGGTAGCTGGAGCAGCGGGAATCCTCATTTGGGGCGCGGGGTGTCGTTTGAAAGCAGTTTTCTGGAGAGGATGTCACCTTTGTGCTCTTTAAAGTGCTGCCGCCCCACAAAAAAAATGTGTCGCATATCCTGTGAAGTCTGCCGCAAGAAGACAAGGAGGCGAATAAGTTTTGACTTGTGTCGCAGCCAGGAGGTCCCTTTGTGCCGCCGTTTACGACCCGCATTGATGTGGCCGCCTGACCCCCGACTTTTGATGTTTCGAGTCAAAACAGTTGATAACAATGCGCCATAGAAAGTATGCTGCTGATGGTTGACCACAAATCACAAGAGCGCACATGTCCTCTTATTCGCTTTGCGCCGGCTGTCTGATTGCAGTAGTTGTCTCTGCTTTTTGTGGCCTTTCCACATCCTGCTTCACCTGGGAAAATTAAATCAACCAAGCTTTAAAATAAAGCATACAAAATTTCTAATAATTTTTTATCATAATTATTTCATAAAATATTGATGGTATCAAATTATTCTAACGATTTGTGCAAAGCTTCTGCGTAAATTGTATTATGGTGAATTGAAATTGAAAATAATGACGGTTAATTTATGTTCTTAAATAAATTAAATATTTTGTTTATTTATATGATCTTTACGGACGGCAGTATAATGAGTCTGATGTCTTCAGTTTAATTTACAAAAAATATAAGTTGTAATAATGTTTATAATTTTAAAGTTGATTTCACCATTCTTATTAAAATTATGACTTCTTCCGTAAAAATTTGCTTGAATCTCGGATAAGAAAATCTTTTGTAATCTGAATTTTCTTAATGACTTATTGACATAGACAAATTAATTCTTTACAACAATGGTTTGTTAAATTTCCAATAATTGCCCAAAATGGGTTCTATTGTTGTATAAAGACTTGATTTGACTATTACAATAAGGAGTCCTTAAATACAGTTTCTTTATTAAATTCATACATTCTCTTATATTGTAATTTATTTTAAATGAATTTAATTCTTATTTCTGGTCAAGATTAGATTTTGTAGCAGTTTCACCATTTCAAAGCCATCGAAAAAATAAATAAAAATTCCGCTCTACGAAAAAAAATGTGAAATGACCAATAAAGCAGCCTTTTGTGAGTTTTATCTTCTGTTGCCGGTTGAAATCGACAGCACAGGACAAAACATGGCAGGTTGTTGGCGAACACATAAAATTGTAGATTTATGACACTGTGAAATATGCGGCCGCTCTGTAGCAGCGAATTTCAGACAAAACACATTGACGTTTTTGTGATTACGACTCTTACAGACAGGCAGGTACAATACAAACAGACGTCAGATAAAAAGTATCAAAAGTATAAAAATTCCGGATTCTGTTTGTGTTGCAGCCAAGAATACTACATCTATAAGAAAGATGAAAAATGGCTGCATGGGGAAATCAGACCTGTGTGGCCTTATTGTGGTGATTTTTTCTGTGGTCAGGTCTCTTTGGCGGCACCGCGCGGTTTGTTGTCGACCTGACTTTTGAGCAATTACACCACCAACATCAGATATTATAGGGGCAGCAAAGGTGTCATTCAGGATAATGCACAACACACCGTGTTTGTTTGCATTGTTCCGCGGCGCATTTTCGCTCTCGTGCGTTGCTTGTTATTGAGAGAAGAAAAGAGAGAAAAAGTCGGATGGTAAGTTTTCGTAAAACACGCTCCTCAGGGGGTCAGAGAGGAGCGTTTCTCAGGTAATACAACAGCTATTAAAACCATCTTGCAGAAAAGCAGCTCCTTTTCCAACATATATTAATGACGCTAATTTATAACGCCGTAAAATCAAATTAAACGAGGCTGCAGCCATTTTTCCCAAAGCAACATGGCAACCCTCTAATAAATTGAATTAATAACCATCAAGAGTGGCACTTCTCAAATTTTATCTCTCCTCCCGAGTGGGGTCATAGAATTTTTTGAATATTTATCACGGTCCCCTGTGACTAAATGGGGAGAGGGATGCTCGTTACATTCGAAATGGTAGAAATATATATGAAATTATTTTTTTGACATTTTTCATAATTCCCACAGAAATTCCTTTTTAAAAAAACGCAGCATCAGTGAGAGATTTGAGATCGCAGCAGCACCTGGGAGAAGAATTTCCATACAATTTATTCAAGAGCTTTTTTTCTGCCACCCAGGGGTGCTGTTGGGTGGCTGCAGCTTTTGAGATTCGGGTGTGCTGACTTGGAAGTAATGTGGCGTGTTTGTTGACTAAACATTTACAAACCGCGTGCGGCATTGTGTTGGGTGCGATTCCCGCGCCAGATAGACGCGGCTAATCTGTGAATGTTTCCTTTCATCCCTCACAACAGCAGTGACACCCATGCACAAATACTTGGTGTAATGCACCCCCATGAAAATAGATTTATTTCATCCTGTGCACATCAATTTGGTGGGAGAGAGATAGATAAGCCCCTGTGAGTGCATCAGCGGTTTCGTGGGTGAGCACCCCGTTGCATTTCGGGCCCTTATTGTGTAAGCCAGCGTGTGCCACAGCTTCCTTTTCCCACAAGCATGAGTTTTGAATTCCACATTTCATTTTTAATCAAATTATTCCATGAGATACTTATTAAAAGTGGAAATATATAATTACTATCATAACTATATTATGCATAATTTCATAATTAATTATAATATAATGATGGTTTCTTTTTAAATTTTCTTTCGTTTTGATAAAATTTATAATTAAACGTTATTGACAAAAAATATTATGTTAACTCGACATTACTAATAATGAGCATCCTTAAATTGTTTACTTTATTCATATCTATATTAAATTCAAATGGTCAAGCAGGTTAATCCCAATATTAAAATAACAATTAAATAATGTTACTTTTTAAGTTTAATTTATCTGTGCGATTTAAAGAAAAAAAACCAAAGTTCATAAGTTATATTAATGTTTTTTATATTATCTTATTAGAAAAATAGGAATTAAATTATGTCATTATAAAAAAACAGAAAACTATAGTAATGCCAGTTTTTATATTTACTTTGCTTGACTTTGCTTTATACCTAATCATATTTTGAATGGATTTTCGGTTCATGTTTATTTGATGAAGCCATAAATATTTCATCATGATCAATCTAAAATATACAATATTGAAAACGCTGGCTGCACCTTTCGTTTTCTCTTCCCAAAAACCAACGGGTATTAATAACATACAACTCCATTATTTCCATCCTCGGAAAAAGCCCAAGGTGCATCATTATATAAGAAGGTTTTAAGAATTCCAAATGAACTCCGTCTCGAATTCTACGCTCGAATGAACAGTATGTAAGATTTTTTACCCACAGCACCTTTTCTCTTTCCAGCAGCATAATGACGTTTTGAAAAAATAAATGTTCGATCATTTCTCTCTCTGTGGCTCGGCGAACTCGAATTTATTCGTCTTGCAGTGGCTGTGGAAAAGGCGGTCCATTTGCATACAGTGAAACAATGGCATATTTTATTCCAGCTGAACATGCAGCAGTGGTTTCCATTTTTATATGCTAATTTACACACCGTATTATTTTTTATTATTCGTGCGCACACCGCCTCGGCAGAGAGTGTTATCCGCAGATAAAATCTCAGCCGCTACTTTTTCAGCTCTCTCTGATATATAATATAAAAAATTGCGCATGCATGTATTGAATAATTTTGCTGACAATACAATTTGAGTGTATATCACTGCACACACACAACATGCTATTTTATGTGTACAAAACAGCTTGCGCTTTTTCCATTTAATTCTAGCCGGCAGCAAAAAACGTGCTTTGGCGCAGCTCAGAGATGATCCCATAAAAAAGTCATTGGTGCTGAAAATCATAAGCGACGGCTGCTGCTGAAGAGGCGACAATTTTTTCCTGCTTATTACTATTAAAGATCACGCTCGGCAAACTTTTGCTCTCGAGCTGGAGATGAGATGAAAAGCAGTTTGAGACATCTGCTGCTCGCGTGAAAGCCTCTATATATGCCCGGTGCAGAAGATGTAACAACTTTTCTCACTCTGGCGCATCTTCTGCTACGTCGAATTGCTTCAAACATATGAAACTCCACTTATTGTCTCAGGGAGCGGAACCCACAGCGCAAATGATTCTTTTAAATAATTTAAATATTCACATTGATTTAATAATATCATTTAAATTATACTTCTGTGAGCTGTATGTGAAAATTTTAATTCTTAAACCTATTATCTGACAAGGTGGAAAAAAATTTGCATATATTTAATTAAATATTTCTTTAAACGTTAATAAAACTAGCAAAAATTAACTGATTTAAATTTTCTGCAAAATCAGACAAAACCATTACAAATTTTAAATTATTATTAATTAAAAATTAATTTAATTAACAGTAAAATTTCTATTAAAAATATAAAAACATCTAAATTTATTCATTTATTTTAGATGTATTAAAAATAATTATATAAAATGTCTATAAAAATTTAAAAATTTTGAGAATCTTAAAGATAAATTAAAATAAACACCAGAGTCCGGTACCCTGAAGCTTTCCTATGATATATCAAGTACTATTACAGGCAAATATATTACTTTTTACATATTGCCACTGAGGAGGCCATAAAGTAGCGCCGCAAAAAGAGCGCGATAAAATTGGGCCCCTTGTGCTGGCAATATGTCACACCACAAATAAAAAGTGGCCATCTCGGCAATCTTTTCCGCCGCAAATTGCCTCTCCAATATTGGAGCAGCAGCTTGCCGCCTTTTATATTAAAACAATATGGTGACGCGACTGCGGCGCAATTTTTTCTTATCGTTTTGCGGGTGAGTAAAAAAAAAACACCGCCATGAAGGTCCTTTCCTGGGATGCGGATTTTGTTTGGCCGCCAATATATTTTAATAGCATAATTATAGTTGATTGGGGAGTTGTTTTTACACTTTGATGCGAAAAAGAAGAAGTTGTCAATTCATCCTTCCTCACGATGCAACTTTTTGTGACGACTTCCTGCTCCGAATGAGCGTTGCCTTGCAGGTTTCAATCAACTTTCTAGGAAACAATTTTAGCTGAAAAGAAGAAGAGAGGAGGCTCCGTCTAAATAGCCGTGCTTTGTTGCAAGCGCGTCCACCAGTTTGTTTTCAAGCAGAGCAAAAATAATTGCTTGCAATTCACGTCAGTGTGCTTGATTCTGCACGCCTTTTTAATTATTGAATTCGCGCCACGGCAGATGCACAGCTAAAAAGAAAAGAAGGAAGGCGGATGGGAGTTTTTTGATTCCGAAAATACTTCACTTCAGCAGCAAAAGGCGCGAGAATTGTCTTCAACGAGGCTGACAAAGACGTGCTCACAGAACAGAAGCAGCTTTTTTCGATGACAGTTTTGAATTCTTGGAAAACCAAATTGTTTTTATTCAAATATCATTTTGAGATGCGTATAATGAATTGAATAATAA